CAAGAGCTTGATTTTCTTCTCTTGTTTACCTTCCCGATGCCCACCTGCCTGGAACTGGTGCAAAACTTGATTTTTGTATTTCACTAGCTGGTGAATTTAGAAAAATGATGCGTTCTCTTTCACACACAAAACTTATATTACTTTTTGAGCCTCTTGTCCCCCACTGTGATATTCTGTAGCTACTATTCATGCCAAGGACAGATTAGAGACTTTTGAGTTGCAATCACAATTTTCTCTGATGCAGTGACTAATATGACTGGAGTAAGAATCACTTTTAAAGCCGTTGAAAGATTAAAGCCTCAGTTCCTTAATCTGCAAAATGGCCATTTTAAAGGCAGCAACCCTGCATTCCCTGCCTTGGAAGCAAAAATCCCCATGAACTCAGCATTACAGATTTTTCAAGAAAAAAGGATAACATTGTACGCCCAGGAGGACGCCCACCACACCTCGCCTGCAATGAAGATGACTGAGATATGGATTGCAGTTCACACTCATCTGCAGAGAACAATAGGATGTGCATGCAGTAGTGGCAGAATGTGTAACTGGTGTGCCCAGCACATTGTTGGATGGGGTCTACTCTCTACCCCCCCCCTTGTGTGAATCCACTACATGCCATCGGTGTGCAATGCTATGTGGATGGGTGGTTTATTTTATTATTGATCTGTAAGCCCCTCTGCAAGCCTAAAGAGTAGTGTAAATTGCTTTAAGTAAATAAAGAATTTATTTGTGACTCTGCTGATACTGCAAGGCAGGCTTAGTTTGCACTTATTCCAAGTTGATCTCAAATCTCTTTATGAACACTATGTGGATAGTGTCCAGTCTGTCAGGCCTTCACTCAGGGCCGTCTTACCCATAGGTGCTAGGGGTGCAGGGCACCCGGACGCCGGACTCTCAGGGCTGCCAGGCTGAGAGTCGGGGGCCCAAGAGTTGAGTCCGGGGAAGAGCAGGCTCTTCTGCTGCGGGCGGCTCTGCGCCGCAAGTTTGGGGACAACCGAGCCAGCAAGACGCTGAGGCGGCCACCTGGCTCTGCCCTCCTGCGCGCCTGGGACCGCGCAACCTGGGGGAGGGGGCACTGGGCGGATCTTTCCACCCTGGCGCCACATATGCTTAATATAGCCCTGCCTTCACTCTTTCCAGTGCAACACAATTGAAGAATAAAAATCCATGCTGGATTTAAGCTAAAAGCCAATTTATAAACTTTTTAAAAGTAAGTGCCACATATTATTTTCTTCCTTGATCACTATCACGAAAAATACATTCTCCTAAAACACTTTCCCAGCACACAGGAAGGGTTATAGCCACAGAATGCGGCCATCAAATCCTTTACATTATAAAATCGCAGGGAAGTTTGAGTGCTGACCCACTGTTCCCTAGAGGCGGAGATTCCATTTCCAGGGCCGATTCTAACAGGCCTGCTGAAGAATGCTCAGCTCACGGAGAAGCAAAATAAAAATGCCATTCATAATCACACACTTTCCGTCTGTCTCTTGTCATCTTACATGGCACCCCAGCAATCAATTTGCTTCCAAAATCTTGGCTTTGGAAGATATCGGTCTCACTCACACACAAAACCCATCCTATCCCTCCATTTATTGCTCTGGCTTTTCCCCTGACCACTGGAATGCGGGCCTATTGTTTCTCACTCTGAGGAACAAACATTGTGAGTGCTTGGCAAGAGGCCTCTTATTATTTTTAGAAACTGCTTTCTTTCTCCCTGTGTCTTGCCTGGGGAGTTTCCCCACCCAGGAACGTGGTCACAGCGCCACCTGTTGCCTGAACTGCAGAAAGCGGGCAAGTCATAGGAACAAGTGCTTCCAAAGGCAGAGATGGGAAACCTGTAACTTTCGAGATTTGCTTGGTCTGCAGCTCCCATTAGTCCCAGCCAGCATGGGCAATGCTCAGGGATGATGGCAGCTGGAGTATAACACATCTGGAGGGCTACAGGTTCCCCATCCCTCCAATATGATTATTTGCTGTACTCATTTCTGGAGCCTGCTTAAAAATATTCCTGTTTAGATGCTTAGAAAGTTGATATAATTATACTGTTTTAGTATTTTAACTTACGTATGTTTTAAAGTAGGGTTGTGAATTTTATCTTGAGTTTACTGTTTTGTCTTTTGCAAACCGCTCCGAGGTATTTTAGCAATCAGGCAGTGTGTACATTTTATGAAACAATCTTGAGGAGACACTCTCAGTTTGGGCAGGCAGTATTCTGCATGTCCACTGCATTTAATAATAATAATAATAATAATAATAATAATAATAATAATAATTTTTATTTATACCCGCCCTTCCTGGTTCAGAAAACCGGGCTCAGGGAGGCCAACAACAAATCTAAAACACTTAATGGATGCAACAAAAACAGCATAAAATACAGTACAAGACGTGAATAACAATAAATTCAAAATTCAAAATCAGTTTAGGGGTAAAATCCATCCAATAAACATTAGATGATCACCAGGGCTGGCTAGCTAAATTAGTCCTATTTAGTACAATTTCAATATTAAAAATATACCGGTACTCAAAGCAATGAAAATAAAATAAAAGAAAAAGCCTGAGGATGGGTCTCTCTCTCTCTCTCTCTCTCTCTCTCTCTCTCTCTCTCTCTCTCTGTGTGTGTGTGTGTGCTCCTCTTTCGAGATGCGCATTCCAGTGCTGAAACAGAGAGGACAAAATAATTTCATTTCCCTTCCTTGCAGTGCTTGACAAAAGTAAACATGGCACGTTATCCACTATGCCAGTTTTGCTTCTCATCTCAAAGATGGATGAATAAATTCACAAGGTGCTTTCATACTCAGTCATCTCTATCCCTAATGATCAAATCACCCAGTTCTAGGGCCCCCACATTCCTTGACATGAGAGGATACCTGTTTTCCTAAGAAATAGGTCTTTTCCTTCTCAGATCTTTCCCCTCAGAGGAGCACCTCCTTCCCTGAAACCCTAATTTTCCCTGCCGGTGGGGGAGCTTATACCTTAGGAGTAGGATAAGAGAATTGTAGAGTTGGAAGGCACCCCAAAGTCATCTAGTCCAACCCCCTGCAATGCAGAAACCTGGATAGTGCCTCCAGCCCTGGGTGGAATCTATATACATTTTAAAAACACTGTGAAAAAGCTTTTTTAAAAAACCCATCGAATTTGGCATAGCTCTCTCTCTCGCCATCTAGTGTCAAATTTGTATAATGCACAATACAACACATTTAAAACATTTCATTTGCAGCTGCATAGCTGAGTCCCTGCTAGCTGTCATATCTTTCCTCCACTCCTCAAAACATGTTTCTCTAGATATTATGGGAATTGTTTGAAAGAGATGGAGCATTTTAGGAAGGACATTCATTTTCATTATGGAAACTCTTCCTCCTATTGATAATTTTAATCTGCTCCAAGTTTCAAAATCCTTTTTTATTTCTTTCCAAACCTTATTATAATTATTCTCAAATAAATTGCTATTTCCCATGGTTAATTCTATACCTAAATATTTTGCCTTTTTCACAATTTGCAATTTTGTCTTTTCCTGTCGATCTTTTTGTTCCTGCTCTTGCATGTTTTTCACCATTACCTTTGTCTTTGTCATATTCATCTTAAATCCTGATACACAGCGAAATTCTAGAATTTTCTTTTGGAACACTTGTTTCTGGTTCTTCAGTCATTAAAATGATGTTATCCGCAAACACCTTGATTTTAAATATCTTTTCGCCAAGTGTAATCCCTTTTATTTCATCTTCATTTCTTCATTCTGAATTTAAAATTTTGAGAGTTAAAATGAATAATAAGGGCGAAAGCGGACAACCCTGCCTGGTGTCCTCAATTTTTGTAATATCGGTCTTGGTTTTGTTTACTATTAAACTGGCTTGTTCTTTATATATTGCTTTGACACCTTTACAGAATTTTTCTCCAAGCTGATGTTGTTGTTTAGTCATTTAGTCGTGTCTGACTCTTCGTGACCCCATGGACCAAAGCATGCCAGGCACTTCTGTCTTCCACTGCCTCCCGCATTTTGGTCAAACTCATGCTGGTAGCTTTGAGAACACTGCCCAACGACTTCATTCTCTGTCGTCCCCTTCTCCTTGTGCCCTCCATCTTTCCCAACATCAGGGTCTTTTCCAGGGAGTCTTCTCTTCTCATGAGGTGGCCAAAGTATTGGAGCCTCAGCTTCATGATCTGTCCTTCAAGCTGATAATTCTATAGTTTTTTGCAGAAAAGCCCAAGATAGGTTATCAAAGACCTTTTCGGCGTCTATTAGCATAAATGCTACTTTTTTGCTAGGTCTTAATTCCAAATATTCAATTAAATCGAAAACCACTCTAGTGTTTGTTTTCATATGTCTGTTTGGTAGAAAGCCTGATTGATTATAATTAATAGTATATTTTAGAATTGATTTGAGTCTGCTTTCCTGGCAGTCCAGTCATTCATTCATTATTGCATCAGTGCAGGCAAATGAGGGCAAGGCCTTGGACTGTGGCATCAATTCTTTATTTACTTAAAGCATTTTACGCTCCTCTTTAGGCTTACAGAGTGGCTTGCTGATCAATAAAAATAAGCCAAGAGTGGCTTTCAGATCAATAATAAAAAAGCCCACCCAAACAGTTGCTACTCTCAGTCTTATAGAACTGAAAGATCCTGGCACAAAAGGAAAATTCAATAGGCAGGAAGCAAACAAATATAGTAGCTACAGATTTACCATAGTTTGTATCATGATTCATAGAGTTGGAAGGGACCTCAAGGGTAATCTAGAGGAAGAAGAAGAAGAGTTTGGATTTGATATCCTGCTTTATCACTACCCGAAGGAGTCTCAAAGCGGCTAATATTCTCCTTTCCCTTCCTCCCCCACAACGAACACTCTGTGAAGTGAGTGGGGCTGAAAGACTTCACAGAAGTGTGACTAGCCCAAGGTCCCCCAGCAGCTGCATGTGGAGGAGCGGAGACGCGAACCCGGTTCACCAGATTACGAGTCTACCGCTCTTAACCACACTGGCCCAACCCTCTGCAATGCAGGAATCTTTTGCCCAATGTGGGGCTCACCCCCCCCCCAGATTAAGAGTCTCATGCTCTACCGACTGAGCTATTCCAGCAACCAGTTGGGATGGAAATTGATCAGGTTATGAAGGACCCAAAAGGTGCTGGATCCTTGAGTTTCTTTCTCACCCCTGTGTCTCCCACATCCCTTATATATTAAGGGGGATTGGTGGTATGTTTTGTGTTTCTAATTCTGCTCCCTCACGCATACCGAAAAGGAGAGTATCGAGAAAAATAATAAATCCAAAGTCCACAATCAGGTCATACCTTTATTAGGCCCGACAAAACGTTGCAACTTGCATGCATTCAATCTCCCTTGACAACGTAAAAGTTCCAAAGAGTTAATCAAGAAAAAAAGGGGGGGAGAGGAAAATAATAAGAGTCCTGTGGCACTTTGAAAACTGTCATCTGTGGGGGGCCACTAGGGGGCGCATTGGAAGATGGCTGACAGTACCATCTGGCCGACCCACACGGGGTAATTAAGAGGCTGTTATGGGAGTAGGCAGCCTCCCTTGTTGCCCCAAGGAAATGGGGAACACTGCCCTTGCCTGCTGTGCCCATAAATCACCCCCTAATTCGAAAGAAGGGGGTGAGGGCCCTAGGCAGAATGCCCCCGTGTGGACATCGGCTCTCCTGGATGCTGTCTCTGATCGCGCACTAGTTGCAGCAATTTCGAATAATTAATTACAAAAGAAGCAAATGCACATATTTCAAGTGAAGAAGGGGAGTGAAGTGTGCTAATTTAAGTGACCTCTGCGAAAGAAGACGACGGGCTGCTGGAGAAACAGGAATATTTTACGATGAAGATACACCAAAGGCGGGGTATGTTGACAACAGGGCTGAATGGGGGGGGGACCTTTTTTACTTTCCTTCTATGTGATTTACAGGAACCCCTCCTCATTAGAACCGTCGGTTGAACTGACCCAAGCATGATGATTAAGGTCTGTGTGGAGATAAACTTTAACCAAAAGTATGCTTTATGGAGACCGAGAAACAATAAGAGCTTTTGGGAATGGCGCAGCAATTAATTCGGAGTCGCCATCTTGCCAAAGGATTTATAGCCAGGAGGAAGAACGGATTTGTTTTCAGACTGCATTCCTAGTGAATCTCCTCAGAGGTTTTGAGAAAGGAGGCAGATTGGTGAAGATTAATGACGCTAAGACTGTTTTGATGTATGGAAGTGATGTTATATGGAAAACGTCTGGATATGGCTACTGGATAAAAAAATTAATATCCACGCAGGATTACAAACTGTTCTAACCAGCTTATGGAGACTATCAGAGGTCACAAAGAGAAAGGAAAAATATATGAAAATAACAACAAGAGATGTGGAAAAACAATAAGAAAGGACTGGATAGTACTGTGAACATCATAAGGTTAGATTTGTGGACATTAAAACAGCAGTAAGAAGCAAGAAGTTGATTGGATCCCTTCGGAACTTGAAATATGGGTACCCCCAACAAAAATTTAAAATTCGGCTGTGTAATTTGGAATTTATGTAATTTGGTTTGATTTGATGTGATTGGTTGGTTAATAAAAAATTATTCTTAAAAAAAGAAAACTGTCCTCTGTGTTGTCGCATTTGTATGTTACACATAGGATAGATGCTCACTCTCACATATCACGCATAGAAGACAAAGAGGGTGATAAAAAGCTATCAGTGACTACTACTAATAATAATAATATGCCCCAGCCACTCTGGGTGGCTCCCAACAAAAATTAGTAAAAACACAATACAACATGGCTATATTCTTCATCCAGTGGCAGAGACAGTGTGCCTCTGAATTCCAATTGCTGGGGACCACAAGTGGGGAAATTGCTTTTGAGTTTGGGTTCTGCTGTTGAGCTTCCCATAGACATCAGGTTGGCCACTGTGAGAAAAGGATGTTGGGCCAAATGGACTATCAGGCTAATTCAGCAGGACCGGTTTGCAGAGCAGCCTTCAGAAAACACACACACACACACACACACACACGGCTGGCACATCACTTTTACCATGACTGTGCAAGCGTTTGAAAAGGAAGCAGCTTTCTGTGTACTTTATCCCTGCACAAGTTGATCATTGGCTAAGCTACTGAGATACCCTTTCTTCAACAAAGAGACCTTTGGAAGATTGAACGCAGAGAGATTTGGCATTCTGTTGAGAAGCGGGTACAGTTAGAGCAGACACTGCCGCTCCGAAGTAGCTTAGAACCACGTATAGCAGCTCACGGAGGTTGTGCAAAACTTAGTAGGCATGATGTATTGAGCTATGCAAACTCATTTCCTTCCTTTGGCGCACTTTGCTATCAAGAGTCATGGAGAAGATGCTTGTGAACGTAAAGAAATGGATAGAAGAAAACAGAGCTGTCTTCTTGCCTCCAGTATGCAATAAGCTCATGTAAGTTAATGGGTTTGTGTGTGGTTTTTTTATTAATGGAACATGTGCAGAATTTTCTCCTTCTCTTGAGGGTCGGACTCAATGCAATGGCTTACAAGAAAGGAGATTCTGACAAAACATAATGAAAAACTTCTGACAGTAAGAGCTGTTCGGCAGTGGAACAGACTCCCACGGGAGGCGGTGAATTCTCCTTTCTTGGAGGTTTTTAAGCAGAGGTTGGATGGCCATCTGTCATGGATGCTTTAGCTGAGATTCCAGATGACCCGTGGGGTCCCTTCCAACTCTAAGGTTTTATGATTCTATAATTCGCTGTTCTATGTTTCGTTGAAAACAAAATGTTGTTTTTCAATTCTTATGCAAATCAAAGAGGAGAGGAGAGTCACGGCTCAGTAGAGCAGCAATGCTTTGCATACCAAGAGTTCCAGGTGCAGCGCCTGGCATCTTCAGGTAATACTGGGAGATTCCTCTGTCTGAAACCCTGGAGGACCACTTCCAGTCAGTGTAGACAGTACTGAGTGGTCTGATTTGGTACAAGGCAGCTCCCTATGGTCCTTGAGTGAAATACTGTATATGTCTGCCAAAGGTCTTCAAAGTCTGGCCGAAACAGGAGCAATCAAACCTAAAGCCTGTTTTGCATATTTAAAGCCATAGCTGTCAACATTAAGTACACAGTAATTCTTGATTCTGAACATGCTTTGTAGTCTTTGTGGCATTCATAGATGCAATGATAATAAACTTGTTGTATGCCTGTGGACAGCAGTTTGTAAGACTGTACAACACTCCACAAATAATATTTTTCACACCTTGAAATAAAACACAGGTTCAGAATTATTATTATTATTATTATTATTATTATTAATACCCCACCCATCTGACTGGGCTTCCCCAGCCACTCTGGGTGGCTTCCAACAAAATATTAAAATACAGTAATGCATCAAACATTAAAAGTTTCCCTAAACAGGGCTGCCTTCAGATGTCTTCTAAAAGTCTGGTAGTTGTTGTTCTCTTTGCCATCAGGTGGGAGGGTGTTCCACAGAGCGGGTGCCACTACCAAGAAGGCCCTCTGCCTGGTTCTCCGTAACTTGGCTTCTCGCAGTGAGGGAACTGCCAGAAGGCCCTCAGCACTGGAGCTCAGTGTCTGGGTAGAACGATGGGGGGGAGACACTCCTTTAGATATACTGGACCAAGGCCGTTTTGAGAAGAACTCCAGGCTTTGAAGAAGCAAGTCATATAACTGTGAAACATGTATGAGTTTTCCAGGCACCAAGAGGGTGGGAATAACATATCATAATCAAAGTGCAACAACAATTTTAGGATAGCTCAGAGGTGGGCTATGCAACCAGTTCAGCTGAATCCCACTGACTCAGAAAGATTTGGGATGATTCAGCTTGAATCTGAATCGAATTGAAGCCACTCCAACTTGCTCTGACTTGCTCTGAGTAAATTGGGAGTGATTTGAGCCCATTTGGAGCTTGGAACTCTGCCTAAGCTTGGCTGCCTGCCCCACCCCATCCCCACCCCCCAGTGTTGCAAAACACCATATTAGGTGGATGCCAGTTTGGGAAGTTGGACTTTGCTCACTGAGAGCTCTATCTCCCAACCCAGAGCTAAAGTCTCACTGAACACTTTCCAGTCACAGTGCTTGGGGAGAGGGATGGTGAAAACTTCAAAGTACAACTCAGCTCTCACTGGCTTCATTCTTCTGCAAGCTCCCTCTCTGAATGTTAGAAAGCAGGAATGTGGGAGAAATTTGATTCATTTCTCATGTAGAGGTGAAACTCACTAATTTACACTATTTGAAACAATACACGAGCATCCTTTGAAATTTGAACTTCTCCAAATTTTGCAGTGTAGTTTGTTGACCAAGTAAATTGTATAAAAGTGCACCTGTCAATGAAAATAGCATGCGGATATGCTTTATATCAGGGAAGCCAGCCATGCAAAATTGTGCAAATAGGCAAGGTTGCATACAAAAATGCTGGTTTGAAGAGTCTTTACTCTTTTATCCTTTTATGCCTTAAATTATCATAGGTTTATGTTAAAAATTGGTATTTTTATTACCCTGCAGGCACCGCTATCAGCTCAATGTAATGTTTGTTGGTGGGCCAAACCAAAGGAAGGATTATCATATTGAAGAAGGAGAAGAGGTAACCCATTGGGAAGTCTTTCATTTAGTGATTTGGGTACAATGTCCTTATGTAGGCTTGCACTATCTATTACGCAATGCCCTCTAGATGTTGTTGGACTACTACTTCCATCATGCTTGATCATTGGCTACTCTGGCTGGGACTGATAGAGGAGTAGGGGACTGTTATCATTAAGCTATTTTTTTTAAAGCGAGCCTCTTAGCCCAGGCATAGGAAAACTTGGCCCTCCAGATGTTTTGGGACTATAACTCCCATCATCCCTAGCAAACAGGACCAGTGGTCAGGGATGATGGGAATAGTAGTCCCAAAACATCTGGAGGGCGGAGTTTGCCTATGCCTGATCTTAGCATTCGTAGCTTGCAGTTTTCCATGTATCCAATAGATGTCAGCATATTCCCTCATATTGAATTTTTAAATCCACAGTTCAGTTTTCCAAAACTGATTGTGCAAGCGCTGCAATATACATGAATCCCTTGCAGACTGTACATATGGCATTGTGATATGCATACTCTAAATTAAGTTTTCCCCTCTCCTACACTGTAGTTGTTCTACCAGCTGGAAGGAGATATGTGCCTGAAGATAATAGAGAATGGAAAACACAAGGATATCTACATTAAAGAAGGAGAGGTAAACATAGGCTTGTAAATGGTTAATGGAAAATGGGTGGGGGAAATATGCACATAAAGCAAGGGTGTATTTGTCATAGTTCTCTCTGCTGAAGAAACAAGCCACATTTTCCATTGACTTGTGGCTTACCTCTTCAGCTATAGGAACGTCTGCATGAAAAGAAAAACAAGCAAACAGAATGAGCTCTGGATGCTCCTGGAGCCCTCCCCTTATCATGTGTATAGCATACCTTCCAACATTTCTCCAATACAACCTCTGTATCCTCCATCCAGACAAGCAAGAGGTATTATCAGAGTTCAAGGACACATTCCAGCCAGAAAACATTCAGGGGGTGAAACAAGGCCAGTGTATGGCCTGAGGAGAATTCTGAGGGCCAGATAGAGCAGGATTTGGCCCCCAAGCCTGAGGTTCCCCACTCCTGTCATGAACTGTGGCAACTGTTTCAACTTCCTTTCTTTTTTTTCTGGGCAGATGTTCCTCTTACCAGCCAGGATACCACATTCCCCTCAGAGATTCGCAAACACTGTCGGATTGGTTATTGAGAGAAAAAGATTAAAGACTGAAACCGATGGACTCAGGTGAAATATAATCTTCTTAAAACTCTGACTCTATTACCTTGAGCAAGAACCATTTTGGTTCAAAAAAGTGGCATACAAATATTGTAGTATAAATACAGTACTTATGCAATATGTAACCTCTCCGGGGCACAAACCTGGGCAGTGTGTATGGAGGCCCTTGGCTGCCCAGATGATATGGTCCAAAGGAAAGTAGAGCAACATGTTTGGCTGCTGGAGTTACCAGAAGGAGGCGTACAAGACGCCATCCAACTGTTTTAGGGCCTCCACTCTGGGTTTGTGTAGGGGTTACTCCTTAGCATTTTCTTCTCCCAAACATATCCCACAACGCAACGAAGGTTTAGGATCAGAGTATTCCTTCTCCTTGATGGGCCACCTTCCCAGGTTTTGATGAGCCCCATCTGCTCCTCACTTCCTTCTACAGCACATGCAGAAACCACCTTCTTGACCACTGAACCCTCCATTGGCTGCACAATCCAACAGAGCCTGTCTTCACATTCAGGAGGAAGTCCCTAACCCACTGAGGGTTTGAGACCCATCAACTACCCTCACCTGGTTTAGCTGGTGTGGCCGCTGTCGCATGCTGGCAGCTTCTAGGAGTCACAGGTGAGATCTGAGTGTAGGATGGAGACCAAAGTGGGACAAACTAGCCCATAAGGAGCACAATGCGTGTGTGTGTCCCCCATAGGTACTACCCCTCCTGTAACATCCTACACATCCATGGAGCTCACTTCAGTGCTGATAAAGCAGCGATTTGACTTCACCTCTGGAGGCACATTGCACTGTCTCTCTAGACAGATGGATGCCAACAAGTATGCAATGTGTAGTAAATAACATATTGAGGAAAGAGTCATAGATCAGTGGGACGGGGCATATTTGCACACAGAGGGTCTGGTATCTCTCGGCTGGGCTGGAAATGTCCTCAGTTTCAAATCCTGGAGATCTTCTGCCCATCAGTGCAGACAATACTGTGCTTAATGACAAGGATGTGCTGCCATGTATTTGAATTAACTGAAGTCCAATCTAAGCTGAAATCAGATTTCAAGATTCTCACTGGTGCCGAATTTTATTATCCTACCCAGTGCAGATAAGTTCAAATCAAAGCATTATACATTTATTTGTTTTTAACCAGTGCATAATATTTTGAAACACATTTAGAGAGTAAAATAACACAGCCTTCCATTTTATATGATACAGCCACTTAATGCGGTTCCTCCCCCACCCTTTTGTCAGATACTACGTTGGAGAATCAACCAATGTCCTTTTTGAGAGATGGTTTTACTGTGAAGACCTTGGCACACAACTTATCCCAATAATCCAAGAGTAAGTCTTCTCCATTTTATTTCATTGGGCTGAATCCAAATAACTTTTATTCAGAGCTGACCCACTGAAATTAATGGGCCCAAGTTGTATTATTATTATTATTATTATTATTATTATTATTATTATTATTTGCTGCTCATCTAACTATCTGACTGGGTTGCCCCAGCCACTCTGGGCAGCTTCCAACAAAACACTAAAAACACAATGAAATACCAGCCATTAAAAACTTCCCAGAACAGGGCTGCCTTCAGATGTCTTCTGAAAGTCAAATAGTTGTTTATCTGTTTGACGTCTGCTGGGAGGGCTTTCCACAGGGCAGGCACCACTACCAAGAAGGCCCTCTACCTAGTTCCCTGTTGCTTCACTTTTCACAGAGGAAGTGGGAAAGCAAACATGCATTTGTAATGTCGCCCAGACATACAATTTGGTTACCTATATTAGTCTGAAAGGTTTTACTCCTTTAACATTTGTCATTCCAGGTTTTTCAGCTCAAGGCAGTATCAGACTGGAAAACCCAATCCAGGTAATATAAACTGATTTCAGAATCAAAGCAATTATTCAACGAGTAATAATATGGGTGGGGTTTTTTCCCTTAAGGAAAGCTTAATTAACAAAAACCCTATTATTACTGGCTGTACTGGCTGTGTACACATGACACACTGAAAGCACACACACCTTGGGAATCCTGGGAACTGTAGTTTACCACTCACAGAGCTACTATTCCCAATCTCAGCATCCTTAAAAGTTTCCAGGATTTGGGGGTGGCAGTGGATGTGATTTAAATGTATGGTATGTACAGAACCACTGTCTCTCTTTAAACACTGCTCCAAATGAAATAACATCTGCAGGAGAAATGCTAACTTTCTTCTCTCTTTTTCTCTTAACTGAGACTCTGCCAGAATTAAAGGGTAGAAACAACAGGGAGATGGATTTAGTGCCTAGCTTTCTCTGAGCTTTTCAGGATCTCAAAAATTAAAATACATAGCTTTCTAACAAAGCTTTTCATAAGAAAGAGGAATACTTTGGTCTGGAGTGTTTGTGCTTCCTCTGACAGCTTCAATAAACTTGTGCAAAAGGTTCATGGTGGTTCAGTTCAATTCCCATGGTGAAATATTAGGAGAGCTCTTAGGGATGATTGTTTGCACACGGCCCCACGGAGTGGCTTCCATGGTTAAGAGTATTACAAAGCAAAAGAGGAGCTATTGTGTTTTATCTAAGGTGTTTATTCCCGCCCCCCTTAAAAACTCTTATGAGAGTATTTCTCTCTCCTCTATTATATTAACAATAACAAAACCACTTGTGTTTATTTCTAGATACAAAGAAGCTAGACTACTTGAAGCCAGTTTGTCTCTTAAACTTAACACAACAGACAGAGTAGATTAAAAAATGGCAAATGCTATAATTGCATTTTAGCAACAGCCATTGGGTTTTACAGTGGTTTATCCTGGGGGGACACAGGTGGCGCTGTGGGTTAAACCACAGAGCCTAGGACTTGCTGATCAAAAGGTTGGCGGTTTGAATCCCTGCGACGGGGTGAGCTCCGTTGCTCGGTCCCTGCTCCTGCCAACCTAGCAGTTCGAAAGCACGTCAAAGTGCAAGTAGATAAATAGGTACCACTCCAGTGAGAAGGTAAATGGCATTTCCGTGTGCTGCTCTGGTTCACCAGAAGCAACTTAGTCATGCTGGCCACATGACCCAGAAGCTGTACGCCAGCTCCCTCAGCCAATAAAGCAAGATGAGCGCCGCAACTCCAGAAGTTGGTCATGACTGGACCTAATGGTCAGGGGTCCCTTTACCTTACTATCACAGGGATGGAGAAGCTGTGAGCCTCCCATATGTTGTTGTCCTCCGGTTCCCATCAGCCCCCAAAGAGCAAGGTCAGGGATGATGTGAGCTGTAGTTCAGCAAAACATCTGGAAAGCCATGGGCTTTCCTGGTTCACCCCTAACTGTGTGCTACACTAGAACTGTTGTTGTTGTTGTTTAGTCGTTTAGTCGTGTCCGACTCTTCGTGACCCCATGGACCAGAGCACGCCAGGCACTTCTGTCCTCCACTGCCTCCCGCAGTTTGGTCAAACTCATACTGGTAGCTTCAAGAACACCATCCAACCATCTCATCCTCTGTCGTCCACTTCTCCTTGTGCCCTCAATCTTTCCCAACATCAGGGTCTTTTCCAGGAAGTCTTCTCTTCTCATGAGGTGGCCAAAGTATTGGAGCCTCAGCTTCACGATCTGTCCTTCCAGTGAGCACTCAGGGCTGATTTCCTTCAGAATGGAGAGGTTTGATCTTCTTGCAGTCCATGGGACTCTCAAGAGTCTCCTCCAGCACCATAATTCAAAAGCATCAATTCTTCGGCGATCAGCCTTCTTTATGGTCCAGCTCTCACTTCCATACATCACTACTGGGAAAACCATAGCTTTTACTATACGGACCTTTGTTGGCAAGGTGATGTCTCTACTTTTTAAGATGCTGTCTAGGTTTGTCATTGCTTTTCTCCCAAGAAGCAGGCGTCTTTTAATTTCGTGACTGCTGTCACCATCTGCAGTGATCATGGAGCCCAAGAAAGTAAAATCTCTTACTGCCTCCATTTCTTCCCCTTCTATTTGCCAGGAGGTGATGGGACCAGTGGCCATGATCTTCATTTTTTGATGTTGAGCTTCAGACCATATTTTGCGCTCTCCTCTTTCACCCTCAATAAAAGGTTCTTTAATTCCTCCTCACTTTCTGCCATCAAGGTTGTGTCATCTGCATATCTGAGGTTGTTGATATTTCTTCCGGCAATCTTAATTCCAGCTTGGGATTCATCCAGCCCAGCCTTTCGCATGATGAATTCTGCATATAAGTTAAATAAGCAGGGAGACAATATACAGCCTTGTTGTACTCCTTTCCCAATTTTGAACCAATCAGTTGTTCCATATCCAGTTCTAACTGTAGCTTCTTGTCCCACACAGAGATTTCTCAGGAGACAGATGAGGTGATCAGGCACTCCCATTTCTTTAAGAACTTGCCATAGTTTGCTGTGGTCGACACAGTCAAAGGCTTTTGCATAGTCAGTGAAGCAGAAGTAGATGTCTTTCTGGAACTCTCTAGCTTTCTCCATAATCCAGCGCATGTTTGCAATTTGGTCTCTGGTTCCTCTGCCTCTTCTAAATCCAGCTTGTACTTCTGGGAGTTCTCGGTCCAAATACTGCTTGAGCCTTCCTTGTAGAATTTTAAGCATAACCTTGCTAGCGTATGAAATGAGTGCAATTGTGCGGTAGTTGGAGCATTCTTTGGCACTGCCCTTCTTTGGGATTGGAATGTAGACTGATCTTCTCCAATCCTCTGGCCACTGCTGAGTTTTCCAAACTTGCTGGCATATTGAGTGTAGCACCTTAACAGCATCATCTTTTATAATTTTAAATAGTTCAGCTGGAATACCATCGCTTCCACTGGCCTTGTTATTTGCAGTGCTTTCTAAGGCCCATTTGACTTCACTCTCCAGGATGTCTGGCTCAAGGTCAGCAACCACACTACCTGGGGTGTACGAGACATCCATATCTTTCTGGTATAATTCCTCTGTGTATTCTTGCCACCTCTTCTTGATGTCTTCTGCTTCTGTTAGGTCCTTACCACTTTTGTCCTTTATTATGGTAATCTTTGTACAAAATGTTCCTTTCATATCTCCAATTTTCTTGAACAGATCTCTGGTTCTTCCCATTCTGTTGTTTTCCTCTATTTCTTTGCATTGCTCGTTTAAGAAGGCCTTCTTGTCTCTCCTTGCTATTTTTTGGAAATCTGCATTCAATTTCCTGTATCTTTCACTATCTCCCTCGCATTTTGTTTGCCTTCTCTCCCCCGCTATTTGTAAGGCCTCGTTGGACAGCCACTTTGCTTTCTTGCATTTCTTTTTCATTGGGATGGTTTTCATTGCTGCCTCCTGTATAAAGTTGTGAGCCTCCACCCATAGTTCTTCAGGCACTCTGTCCAGCAAATCTAAATCCTCAGATGATCTGAGCCACAGTCAGCTCCAGGTCTTGTTTTTGCTGACTGTATAGAGCTTCTCCATCTTTGGCTGCAGAGAATATAATCAATCTGATTTCGATGTTGCCCATCTGGTGATGTCCATGTGTAGAGGCGTCTCTTGTGTTGTTGGAAAAGCGTGTTTGTGATGACCAGCTTGTTCTCTTGACAGAACTCTATTAGCCTTTGCCCTGCTTCGTTTTGATCTCCAAGGCCAAACTTGCCAGTTGTTCCTTTTATCTCTTGATTCCCTACTTTAGCATTCCAATCCCCTATAATGAGAAGAACATCCTTCTTTGGTGTCACTTCTATAAGGTCTTGTAAGTCTTCATAGAATTGGTCAATTTCAATTTCTTCAGCACCAGTAGTTGGTGCATAAACTTGGATTACTGTGATGTTAAAAGGTCTGCCTTTGATTCGTATTGAGATCATTCTATCATTTTTGAGATTGCATCCCAGCACAGCTTTCGCCACTCTTTTGTTGACTATGAGGGCCACTCCATTTCTTTTACGGGTTTCTTGCCCACAGTAGTAGATATGATAGTCATCCGAACTGAATTCGCCCATTCCCATCCATTTTAGTTCACTGATGCCCAGGATGTCAATATTTATTCTTGCCATCTCATTTTTGACCACATCCAACTTACCCAGGTTCATGGTTCTTACATTCCAGGTTCCTATGCAATATTTTTCTTTACAGCATTGGACTTTCCTTTCCCTTTCATGCATATCCGCAACTGAGCGTCCTTTCAGCTTCGGCCCAGCCGCTTCATCAGCTCTGAATCTACTTGTACTTGTCCTCCACTCTTCCCCAGTAGCATGTTGGACGCCTTCCAACCTGAGGGGCTCATCTTCCAGCGTCATAACTTTTATATGCCTGTTGTCTTTGTCCATGGAGTTTTCTTGGCAGGGATACTGGAGTGGCTTGCCGGTTCCTCCTCCAGGTGGATCACGTTTGGTCAAAACTCTCCACTATGACCTGTTCATCTTGGGTGCCCTGCTCGGCATAGTTCATAGCTTCTCTGAGTTATTCAAGCCCATTCACCACGGCAAGGCAGTGATCCATGAAGGGGACACTAGAACTAGTGCTAATCATTTGGCTGCCACCAAAATGGGAGTGACACACAGATTCCTTCACCTTCTTTAAAGATCTAGTAGAAGTTACCTCGTGTCATGCATGCCATCCATTCATATTATATCCTGGGATGTGATCATGTGAGTTCACTGTCTCTCAACCCAAGCAGGGTTGCTATGGAGTTAAAATGATGGAGGAGAGGAGGAGAAAGAGAAAGGTTTAAGCTGCTCTGGGCAGCCTTGAATGAAAGGTAGGAGGGAAATGCAATAAAAATAGATGGTTGTTGCAAGAAGAAAACCATCATCTTTGTGACCTGTTTTATGCATCAGTTGTTCATTTAGCTAAGTGCAGTCATCCTTGCTGTTCAAGGATGTTAATGTACATGACAAGTTCCTGGAATAAGGGTGGGTGAATCTGCCCATTTTGGTTTCAGTTTCTCATTTTTTAAGTCATTTCACATGTCTGTATCAGTATGTGATTTTTTAAATAAAAAAATCCCCATGAAAATTCATCAGCATTTTAGTGAAATTTCCTCCTTTTATCTGCAATTTTGCCAGGCATACCCCCCCCCTTTTTTTTTTTTGCAAAGCAATTTTGCATTTTATATATTGTTTTCGGGAACATATGCCTTTTGATGCACACTTTAATATACACATTTTTGTACACATCATTTGGTTGGGGAACTGCATCATAAAATGTAGAGAAGTGTGAATCTTGAAGATTTGCATGTTGTTTCAGGAACTTCCAATTGGGTAGGTTCGCATTGCAAGTCCTCACTAAACTGAATTTCTTCTCCATCTCTACCTACAAGACACCACTAGATGCAGTAGCCATCAGAGGGGTTGGGGTAGGCAGGACAACGTTGCTCACCTGCGTTCCCAACACTGAGCATTCCTGAGAGGAGGAAAGGTGAGACACAGGGTAGGGAGTTCAGTGAAGAAGAAGAAGGAGAAGAAGAAGAAGAAGAAGAGTTTGGATTTGATATCCCGCTTTATCATTACCTGAAGGAGTCTCAAAGCGGCTAACATTCTCCTTTCCCTTCCTCCCCCACAAGAAACACTCTGTGAGGTGAGTGGGGCTGAGAGACTTCAGAGACGTGTGACTGGCCCAAGGTCACCCAGCAGCTGCATGTGGAGGAGCGGGGAAGCGAACCCGGTTCACCAGATTACAAGTCTACTGCTCTTAACTACTACACCACACTGGCTCCCAGTGAGGTGCAAACATGGTGGCAGGAGCACTGGACGACCTCTGCTAAGCCTCTTCCTTCCTCAGAACTAACAGTGACTCTTGGGGTTGGGAAGGCAGGTGTTGGGAAGAAGCTGCCCAGCTTGTGCTGCTCCACCATGCATGAAGTGTTGGCCTGAGGGTTTCTAAAATTAAAAGACCTTAGAGGCCAGTTACCAGGAATAGCATTTTCTTGCCAGAGATCTGCAGAGTTTTAACAAGTTTCTTATCTGTTTGGGTTGGGTTTTTTTAACTATAAATTTTGGTGCCATGTCTTTGTTATTCACAGCGCAGTACATTTTTTTTTTCCACATCTAAACCTGATCTGCAAAAACAATTACACAGGATACAGGAAGCTTTCTAAGTAGGCCAAATGAACGCAATCCCAGGACCCCTGGCTGACTATACTACTGATGCTTACCTAATGTGCTTCATAACTTCTTGGGATACCACAGAGAGACGTTGCATTTTTCTGCATCTTATTTGGACCATTACCGAAAAAGCACCCCAGAGACATGTTTTGAGAGTACCCTGTGGCTTTCGGAGAAGAAAACGGGAGTGTGGGAGAAGATTTCACCTTTGCATTTAGTTAAGAGACTGAAGTTAATTTCACAGGGTGCAGAACTGTGAACCTCAGAACAGGATTTGAAAGGGCAGAGAGTGTTTCAGACTGTTTCAAAACAATCAGGAAATGCAGGGTATTAAATGTTGAAGTGCTGCGTAATCAGTTTTGCTCCGTATTGGCCAAGAGAATCCCTAGAAGGCATTTGAACTCACAGTAGGGAGGTAATGAGTAGTGGCAGTAAATGTGTCTGCTTAATGTTGTCTGTATTTATGACAAAGCAGGAGTTGAAAGACCCAATGGGTGGCAGGTTTAAAGAAGCTGGTGAAGGGCAGGAGAAGCAGTCGTGGACTGTTAGATAATTTGAAATTTGGCCCTTGTCCTTTTCTACCCATATGTTTGAATCTTCTGAAACACCAAGTATTAATATGACAATATCACATGTTCTTGCAATAAGCTTTCTGATGGGCAAACACCTGTCGCCACTTCTAAAGCAATCAGAAATATATATATCTATCTTTTCTACCTCTAGATTTTCTTTGTTTTTAGATGAACTTCTGAAAGAAATGCCTTTCCCGTTAAACGAAGCCAAGGTCATGGATCCTTTTTCCTTTCAAGGCTGGCTGAACAATCATCGTGAAGAGATAGATCAGAAGAAATCCTTCAGACTTTTTGGAGACAACTCTGAAACTGAGGTAGAAAAAACTTGAGTACTTTCAAAAGGAGGAGTTGGGTGAATTATTTTTTCAAGTGAACAGGCAGTCTCCTGTGGAGAAGTGTTTTTTATATCTTATTCAGGGGCAGGGAATAAATGATATGCAATGTTCCTCAAGGATAATCTAGCCTGAAGATGTCCATTCTCTCTCTTCTATTGGCCTTGGACAAGGGTGAGGAATCTCTGCCCAATCTCTTTTGGACTTCCAGTAGATGAAGGCAGCTGTAGTCAAGCCATGTCTGGAAGACTGCAGGCTCCCAAACCCTGAACTAGGAGAAACTCTATAGCAGTTGTATGCCCAACAGCCATTCTAGGGAGCTATACAGATTCCTGCTAATACACAAACTGATTTACACCAGTACTTCCGAGGAACAATGATTCAGTCATCAAGAGACCAAACAAGTGACATTAAATGTGCCTTTTCAGTTAACATTAAACATAAATAAAAATAGATATTTATATAACTTATTCAAAGTGTTGGTGCTGACAGCCCTAAACAGCCTCTCAACCCCATCGTTCTGTCCAGACATTGAGGTTCAGCTCTGAGGGCCTTCTGGTGGTTCCCTCACTGCAAGAAATGAGGTTACAGGGAACCAGGCAGAGGGCCTTCTCAGTGGTGATTCTCTCCATGTGGAACGTCCTCCAATCAGATGTCAAGAAGATAAATAACTATACAACTTTTAGAAGACATCTGAAGGCAGCCCTGTTTAGGGAAGTTTTTAATGTTTGATGTTTTATTATGATTTTATATTTGTTGGAAGCCACCCAGAGTGGTTGGGGAACCCCAGCCAGATGGATGGGATACAAATAATAAAATTATTATTATTATTACTATATACCTCTATTAATCAAGTCTGATTTGAGGTGGTTTACAATGTCAGAAAAATCCCCCACCTGGATGCATCTTCTATTGATGATATTGCTTTCCTCACAAAAGTGACCAAAATCAACTTACAAAAACAATAAATCATTAAAAGCAAGTGCCCATAGTCTCCAGGAGCTGGGACAAGATGTGCAGAGCATTGCTGCAAAGACCAATGCCAGCAAGTTTAACCAATGGCATCTGCCCCTAACTTCTAAACAGGGATTAGGAGGAATGAGAAGAGAAAAATAAATGAGGAATCACAGCTGTTTGAAGTCCAGAAAAAGATTCCCATTAAGTTCGAGTGCAAGCCTCTGGCAAAAGGAAAATGCACTGTCTGTCCCAAGAGTGGTGTATGCTATGGATAAAAGCACAAAACTATTAGTGGGAGGATCAGAAGAGTACAGGAGCAAAGACCATTGAGGTGAAGAGAGAGAAATGTGTAGTTGTGATGTATTACATTTTGTTTTTACATTCTGGTATACAAAGCCTTTGGCAAGGTTAATGCATCTTCTCACAATTTCTGTTAAATAATTTTACATTGACACAAATGTTTCTCATAGTAACACATTGCATTTTCTTGGTTTGTTGCCCAGGTTATAATTTTTGGACCAGGAACAACCAAAGAGGGAGGAAAGAATGCAGATATATGGCTATGGCAGCTGGTATGTGATGCTAGTTCAATTTCGCACTAACTATATAGGTAGGGTAAAAAGGTAAATGACCTCTGGAAGGTTAAGTCCAGTCAAAGGCGACTATGGGGTGCAGTGCTGATCTCACTTCAGGCAGAGGGAGCCGGTGTTTCCACACTGGCAATACCATATTTTTCACTCTATAAGACACACTTTTTCCCCTCCAAAAATTAAGGGGAAATGTGTGTGCATCTTATGGAGCGAATGCAGGCTCCATGGCTTCGCGTTGATTTTGCTGAAGCCTGGAGAGCGAGAGCGCACTGACCCCTCTCACTCTCCAGGCTTCAGGGATAGCTGCCCAAAACCTCTGGAGTGCAGCAGGAGCTCCCACTGTGCTCCAGAGGCTTCGCGTTGCTTTCGCTGAAGCCAGGAGAGGAACACTCTCCTGGCTTCAGGGATAGCCGCAGCGGGAGGAGAAATGGAAGGGGCCCCGCTTCTCTTGCCGCTTTGCTGAAGGGGCGCTGCACAGAGAGGGAGAGAATTGTTTTTCTTGTTCTCCCCCTCTAAAACTAGGTGCATCTTATGGTCGGATGCATCCTATAGAGCGAAAAATACGGTAATTCTTCCATCGAACAAGCAATGGAAATAAATGAGGTGTGTGCATTGATCATAAGTGGCTCAACAGGTATGATAGAACTGCTATGGCAGCTTCTGGGGTAGCCAGTTGCTTATCTGGAGGGAGAGCAGCAAGGTGACATAGAGGCTGGCAAAGCCAATTCAGTGTTTGGCCATGTCTCCCCCACCCCTACCCCACAGCCTTGTCCCTTTTCCTCCTAGCAAGCAATAACAACACACTTGTCAGAAAGCTAGTGAAGCCTCCATGGGCAGAGGATCCAGCTGAGAGTTCGAGTTGGCTCCGGAGAAAAGTATTTCACTCCAGGGGTTACAGATGACACTGGGACACCCTTGTCATTGCTGCAGTTGGACTGAGGCAGTGGGGTTCACTCATGGGTTCCTCAGCAGTCTCTGAACCCAGTCTATTGTTGATGCTGGCTATGCTTCAGTTTAAGAATATAAGATGATTACTGCTGGATCCGGTCAAAAGTCCATTTAGCCCAGCACTCTGTTCTCACAGAGGCCAACCAGATGTCCCATTGGCAGCCCACAAGCACAACCTGAGTGTAAAAGCATTATCCCTACTTGCCCATTAGAAATAGTTCTGTTCATGCAAGACCTCCATTAGTCCTCACAGGAATGAAATGGCTCACAGAGCAACATTCTTACAAGACAGATATGAACCCTTTTTAGTAGTGTATTCATGATTTTCCTTGTAGTAATGTCAGTCTAGTCCCTGTTGGCTTGGTGAGCAACTTTTCAGGTCCTGGAAAGTATTTCAAGGATCTGATGAGAAGACTGAAAAATACTTCAAACAACCAAGTGCCGTATTTTCAGGTTGACATATCTATCAGCACACTGCTAGCTTAGTTGATTAACAATGCCACAGAAGTGGGTCACCTCAAGACAGCTTCATTATGTGGAGCTGTGGGCTGCAAACTCAGTCTGATTGCTGCTCCTCACAGTGCATCTGTACTGGGTAGCAGGGGAGTTTTTCTGTTGGCTTTACTATGGAGGTTAAGCCTCACTCAGTTTGTTTGTTTGTTTGTTTGTTTGTTTGTTTGTTTGTTTGTTTCAAATCAAATAGTTCCACAAATGAAAAGGTCAGCTATCACTACAGAATTCCAGGGAGAGGTGAACACTTTCCCCCAAAGTTCTACATCGACTCATATTACACTGGTCAACAACAAATTTGTTGTCTGCATTTTTTCAGTTGATTTAGGATGAATCTGATGCGCTGAATCCAAAAATCACATTGGTTTTGCTCAATCAGGTCAAGTTTTTGAGCTATGGCCACATGTCTTTTTTTACGTTTTTGGTCACATGTACGCTTGTGTGGAACATTTTAGAAGCCAGTGGGGGTAAAATGCCATGTTGAATAATTGTTTTGATTGGAAATGATTATTTTAATGACAAGAAGTATTCAGGTCAGATAGTTCTTGGGTGATTATGTCGAAAAGGGATCAGTTTGAAGTCATAAAACCTCTGTTTTTTCTCGGAAGAGAAGGACTTGGTGTACTGTGCAGATATTGCACAGCTTCTGCTCAAGCTTGGAGTGCCACAGTATGAACCCAAAGATTGGAGACTGTTCACTGACAGCAGCAAGCGATCACTGAAATGTGTTCTGCTACACAACGGCAACCAGTTTGCCTCTATACCCCTGGCTCACTTGAGTACACTGAAGGAGAACTATGAAGCGGTGAAGTATGTGCTGGAGAAAATTGGTTATGATCAGCATAAGTGGTTTATTTGTGTTGACCTGAAGATGGTGAATTTTTTGTTGGGACAACAGTCTGGCTTCACCAAGTACCCATGTTTTCTGTGCATGTGGGATAGTAGGGACCGTGCTCAGCATTACACAAAGAAGGACTGGCCTGTGCGGGAGGAATTGGTGCCTTGCAAATAAAGGAACGCCATCAACGACCCTCTGGTGGACAGAGACAGAATACTCTTCCCACCGCTGCACATCAAGCTCGGCTTAATCAAGCAGTTCACCAAGGCTCTGGACAAGGATGGTGACTGCTTCACTTACTTGTGCCAGGCTTTTCCAGGATTGACCATGGAGAAGTTGAAAGCTGGCATCTTTGACGGTCCTCAGATCTGTCAGCTCATCAGAGATCCAGAGTTCAGAAACTCAATGAACGAAGTGGAACTGGAAGCATGGAAGGCATTTGTTCTGGTAGTGAAGAACTTTCTTGGCAACAATAAGGCCAAAAACTACACAGAACTTGTCAACAACATGCTGACTGCTTTCAGAAACCTGGGCTGCAACATGAGCATCAAGATGCACTACCTATTTTCACATATGGACCGGTTTCCTGAGAACCTGAGTTCAATGAGTGACGAGCAGGGGGAGAGATTCCATCAGGACATGAAAGAGATGGAGACCAGGTATCAGGGTTGCTGGGACGCAGTCATGATGGCTGACTACTGTTGGACTCTGAAGAGAGACCTCCCTTCCGCTGAGCATTCCAGGAGTTCCAAGAAACGGAAGTTCAAGCCCTGAAGTTTGAAAAATGGTGAAGCAACATGCAATTTACGTGTACTTACCTTTATCAATGCCCACCATTCAGTTTACAGTAAACCTGACCTGATGGAGAGAAACGGATGCCATTTCCTGATTCAGCAGTGCAAAAATACCCTAAATCAGTTGTAGAAATCTAGACAACATTCAAAAAGTAAAAAATTGTTGCCCAGTGATTAGTCTCAATTCCCCCGCCCCCTGCAAGTAATGAGCCCTAAACTGATCAAAACAAAGGAGAACCTTTTCACTGCATACTAGGTTTGCACAACTTGTGATGCACTAAATCAGTTTTTCTCAACCAACGGGGACATACGAAGAACTTGGTGTGGAGTGTGTGTGAGAGTGGGGGGGGTTGTTTTGTTTTTTGTTTTGGTAATGTACAATATAAGTAAACAAATTTAAAGCTATGAAATTTCAATCCATGTGAAAAATTCAAATTAAATAATTACGTGAACTGGGATTGAAGGGGGTGTGGCATCTTTTTTATGTCAGCTAAAAGGGGACATGGATTGAAAAAAAGTTGAGAAACAGTGTAATAAATGAAACATCTCCCACCAGCAGCCAAATCTAGGTTCAGGTCCCAGTAAGAGGAAAACCAAGAATGTCTATCAAGCCTGTGGCATATAGTTGTTAATGACTGGTTTGGGTCACAAGCCCTGCTTTTACAGAATTATTTGATTTGTTTATTTCCCAGCTCACTAGATTACTGATGATTTGGTTAGACTGACTGATTAGTTCATTAAGATATACTTCCTAGTTTGTGGCTGCTAATGACAGTCCAGAAAGAATTAAAAGCCCCTCTTTTGTTCCTGCCTTTTCAGGAAGGAACATCTGTTGTTACTGCTGACAGTAATACCCTGTGTCTAGAAAATGGAGACAGCCTTCTCATCCCAGAACAGACTGCGTAAGTATACAACAGTATGTGAGATTGGCCACCTTTTGCAAATGGCCACCTCCTCTCTCTCAGGTATTGGTGCATCACTGCTCCTTCTGCTTTCTATTCATGGAAAATTCATTTAGCTTCTACACCCGGGGTAGCCATTATTTATCTTTATTTGCTGAACTACAGCTCCCATCATTCTTAACCATGATGACTGAGGCTGGTGGGCAATGTTGAACACCATCTCAAGGTCACCATATTGGCTACCCCTGTTTGTGTGTAGTGGCACCAGTATTCGGTAACACTGTTCCTACTGAAATCAGACAGGTGCTGCCATTTTGATATTTTTGATACCAAAAGATATTTTGTTTCACCAGGCCTTCCCAGAGAATTTATTTGTTTCACTGTTGGCTATTTCCCCTATACAGTCGTACCTTGGAAGTCGAACTGAATCTGTTCCGAAAGTCCATTTGACTTCCAAAACGTTTGGAAACCAAGGCGCTGCTTCCAATTGGCTTCAGGAAGCTCCTGCAGTCAATCAGAAGCCGCAGAACCCATGCTGGATGTTTGGGTTCCAAAGAACATTTCTAAACTGGAACACTCACTTCCGGGTTTGCGGAGTTCGGGAGCCAAAACATTCAAGTTGCAAGGCATTCAACTTCTGAGGTACGACTGTATTTTAAAGATTTAATTATACATCATGGTATTATTATTATTATTATTATTATTATTATTATTGAATTGGTGGTCCTAAGATCTGTGGGTATAGGGTGGTATGCAAATTTAATAAATAAATAAAATAAAAATATTTGCAATTTATTTATTTATTTATTAAAATGATTGCTTAATGGGACATTCTTCAGAGTGACGATAGCCAAGTCCGCTCACCCTCTCGATGCGGCTGTGTTGCGGGATGGCAAAGGCTCTTCTAAGACCTCGATGAGGGATTTGAGGATGGTGTCCTGTCCTGATAGGTGGCCTGGGCATAAGACCGGACCACCTATCAGGAGCCAGATCCTAGCCTGCACCAGGAATTGGCGAACGGGGGTGCAGGCTTGGACAATGGGCTGGGCTGGGGTGTTTGTGGAGCTGACAGAGCAAGAAGGCTTCCCTCAGGTCATTTAAACAGCCTCCACTTGGAGCCCTACCTTGCTTTTATTCGCCGGGTTCCTCTCATCGAGTTCGTTGTTGGAGCGTCAGATTGGCTGCCTTGCCTGCCCCAGTGGAGTCATGATAGCCAAATGTTTTGTGAAGGTCTTTGTTTTGCTTTTTCTAACTTTGTTCCACAAGTCAAATACAAAGCATGAGATTTTGGCTGCAATACACATTTACATCAGAGTAAACCTCACTGATATCAGTGGGGATTTCTTCTGAGTGATATAGGTTTGTGTTTTCTGTCTCAAACTAAGCATTCCTGCGCTGCCATTACACTCCTGTTTTCTTGGAATGCTTTTTACCTTTAATCTACTGAACTAGAAAGGTGGCTGTCATGTACTGAGTTGAATAGGCTCCAAAAGGCAGCAGTCTGATTGGTCCTAGAACAATAGGGTCCAGAATGCAGCAGTCTGATTGGTCCACAGGAGCCACCCAATCCAGCTCCAGGTGGAAGTGAATCCGCAGCCTGATTGGCCTACAGGTGAATCCCAGAATTAGCCAATTACATGGGGCCCATTGTGTAAATAATGTATATAAAGCAGACATTCTGGCGGAACTTCCATTCCTCCTCACCACTATGAGCTGAATAAAGCGCATGAAATCCACTCTCAACTCCGAGTATATTTCAGTGGCAGTGATACAACACCGGAAAGGCAAGGAGTCTTAACTCTGTCCCATATTCAGGAGGACCACCGGCTTTCAGGTTCCTTTCCCATGCCCTAATAATTTGTGACCCACACACCATAGATTGCTTTCCTATTTAGAATTAATGTGCTCCGTATGTTTTACAGTTGGTAGAGCCCAGCTCTATGATGGGGAATTGACACCTAGGGTCTCATTGCTATGAACTGCATTGAATCCCCCCCATATGTTTAATCTACTCAAATCCCTGGTGAGATGTTCATTCTCAGTCATGGCAGTCCAGTCTCATTACAACAATCTAATGCTTCCACTTATTTTGGCAACACTCTGTATAGCTGACTGCTCAATTAAGCAATGACATTTTCCCTAAACTACCATTTTACTTCTTTCCATTCTGCTAGTGACCAGTAATTAAATTCAGGAGCAGGAGGTGAAGTGAGAGGCAGAAAGGATTTGGTATTTGGTAAAAAGTGTTCAGCATCCTCAGAAATTCTTCTAGCATTGTCAACAAGCAATGAATAACAAAGGGAGAGTTTATTGTTATCGGGCAATGAATGCTTAGAGTCAATCTGAAAAGATTAACTGATACGGTTTAAAAACAGCAGGAACAGTGGAGGAGTGCATGTCTGCCATTCAGTCCCATTCTCTGTTTTGTTTTGAAGGTTTCAGTGGAAGAGAGCTGAAGGATCCATTGCTCTTTCCATTATTCAGGATCCTGCACGAAAAAGACCCTATACCTGAGTTGCTGGCAAGACTGATTAATAAAAGACTGATAAAATGTTTTATGTGAGCACTGCAATCGAAGAAGAAGAAGAAGAAGAAGAAGAAGAAGAAGAAGAAGAAGAAGAAGAAGAAGAAGAAATTCATTAATCTTGAATCCACACATCTAAAACTATATGACACCACTTTAAACAGTCTTAGATTTCTCCAAATAATCCTAGGAATGGTAGTTTTTTAAAGTTGCCACAGCTCCCTAAGAAGAAGGATTGATTGTTAAACAACTCTGGAACTGTAGCTCTGGGAAGGAATAGGAGAGTTTATAAGCAACTCTTAGCACCCTTAATAAACTACAGGGCAACTGATATGACTTTTCATATGTGATGGACATGTGAGCTGTTGCAACCATTCTGGAAAAGAGTATGTACAGAAATAAGTAAAATTACGGATCAGGACATATAATGTAATCCAAGCCTAGGCTTATTAACAGATATTCAACTCAATTTGTTATACAAGGAACTTATTGATTTTCTTTTGGTCGCTGCACAATTACTCATAGCAAAGTAATTGATCACCTACGCATCAGACAATGGGGGGGGGGATGGACAATTGCTTTGTCCGAGAAACTAACGAAGAGAGTACATGTCTCAACAAGGCATCTGATCTGGATAATTTTGTTGAAATATGTTACCCCTTTATGAAATATTCACATGGACTTATGGGAAAATCTGACTCATTAGTCTTCTGTTCCAGGGAGAGGTGGTGGGAATGGGGAAAATCAATTGTTCTGTTAATGTTTATATTTTTGGAAAGCGATAACAATTGTTGTTTTTTTAAAAAAATGGAATAAAAATAAACAACAACTCCAAGATTTTAGGGGTCGGGGAAGCCATGGCTGCTTAAAGTGGTATCATAGTAATTTAAATGCATGGTGAGAATGTGGCCTAAGAAAAAATAAAACATATTTCAGTGCTCCACTAGGAGTGAGGTCTTGTAAAACGAATGCCTAGTTGTTATATATAACACAGTATCAGAACTCTTGAACAGACTTGCATCACCCACAACACCAGATTTAATTTTTAAAGTTGGCAGGCGTCAGTATATAGGTAAAGGTAAAGGTAAAGGTACCCCTGCCTGTATGGGCCAATCGTGTCCGACTCTAGGGTTGTGTGCTCATCTCACTTAAGAGGCCGGGAGCCAGCGCTGTCCGAAGACACTTCCGGGTCACGTGGCCAGCGTGACGAAGCTGCTCTGGCGAGCAAGCACCAGCGCAGCACACTGAAACGCTGTTTACCTTCCCGCTATAAAACGGTACCTATTTATCTACTTGCACTTAGGGGTGCTTTCGAACTGCTAGGTGGGCAGGAGCTGGGACCGAAAGGCGGGAGCTCTCCCGCCGCGGGGATTCGAATCGCCGACCATACGATCGGCAAGTCCTAGGCACTGAGGTTTTACGCACAGCGCCACCTGCGTCCCTTCAGTATATAGGTAGAAAAATTCAATTTTGGAATTCTTAGTGTTGAAAGGGATGGAGTGGGGTGAGGGGAAGGATCTGGACAGTCTGAGCCAGTGGTTCATAGATCCCACTCGAAAAAGCCAAAAGGAGCTGTGTAATAGGAAGCTGAATTGATGGCTTGAAACATGAGTTTTGATTAAAAAAAAAATAGGGAGTTGAGGAAAGTTTTGAAAGTAGAGGAAATGAGAGCAAGTGATATATAGAGTCAGTGAATTCTTTTTGATTAACCAAGAAATCGACACATTGTGCATAACAACACTTGCTCACCATTCTCTTGAAACCCAAGCTCCTCATGTTTCAAGTGTTCCTAAATGATTGACTTTGCAGAATACAGTGAGCAAAAATCTCCCCTTTCATGCTGATTCGGCTGCTATCGTATATTGCAGCCAAAATAGTCCTGGCCATTTTGAACCCACTTACCCCCCCTCTGTCTTGGATCATTACACCACAGCATATAGCATATTTGAAAGAAAGGAAAACACAAGAAGGGTTGACAAGCTGAGGGGGAACAGAATAAATGTTTATTATTTTAGGAAGGCAGAATCTTGAGGTGACTCTCAGCCTGTTTTATAAGTTTGCATTGCAGAAATCAGAATCATCGCAGCATTTGATTTCCCGACGGATACCATTTTGATTAGGACAAGGCACATCACACGTCACCATATTCTTCAATGCACAGTCGAGTATTTTATCTCTAAACACCCCATCTGAGACAATGTGTGAAGAGGAAGAAAGAGGAAAAGAGAAAGGAGTGAAGATATGTATCATTCTAACCCTCAGTTACCACAATGATTAACTGGAATTCACATAAAATATCCAAGGTGCTCTCCATTACAAAACCTGGTAATACTGATGGCTGAAAGAATAAAGAAACACAAGGGCTGAATCTAGACACACACACACACACACACACACACACACACACACAAAAACATTTTAGGAAAACGTGTTGTAAACTTTATAATGGGAAATCACGTTGGAGAAAGATGGGACTCCACAGTGCCATCCAGTGTCACAGTGTTATAATGCATATAAAATGCTTTTTCTTTACTAATGCAGCTGAGTCCAATGTTTATTACTCTGGGGAAACAAAGCTATTCTGAATACAGGTACACATGTCTCTCTTCACCTTCTTCTACAGCCCCTAAATCTGCACTAGAATGTAGAGAGAAACCCACAAACAAGTTTAGGAGGCACATATAGGAAGGAGTGAAGTGGAGTATTGTGTGGTACCCACATGCGTACTGTGGGATATTGCAGTGAAACATAAGTATGCATGGAGGGTTTGAGACCAGAGACCTGTGTTTTATAGAATTGGGTCATACACCCTCTTTTCTGGTGATGTAAGTATCTTATTTGTCCTTCTTTTAATTAATTCAATGTGCTGGGGGGGTGACAATAAATTTTCTGCACGGGGTACCACGTGACCTTGCTACGCCACTGAGTGATGGAGGAAATAAGACCTTCTCTTCCTTTCTACACTAACACTCTCTTCAACAATGCAACAGTCAGGAAAGAAATGTCTGAGCTTGTTGCATACAAGCTCAGACTGCATGCTTGAAGCTATGCTTCTGACAAAGGCATTTCCATATATTATTCCCCATTGCTGTATCACTAATCTGAAAGAAATGGAAAATAAGCAGAAGGGGAATGTGAACCATGGAGCCCAAACAAGGCACAACCTTTGCAGCTGTTTCTTACTTTCGAGGGTGGTGATGCCAACGCAGGTTCCTCCATCATCAACTTCACATGTTTGGTGGTTGCATGGTACTCCTGGGATCATAATTAGGCATTTTGCACAGAGGAGAGCATCTGCTCCAAAAGACAAAACCAAAATGTTGTGAATAATGGAGGGTTGCTTTGATTGATGGATTATATTTCTATGCTGTTTTTCATTCAAAGGAACCCCAAAGTGTCTTAGAAACAATGAAAGACAATAGGGTAATAGAGCATCAGAAATACATCACAAATCATAAGACAGAATACAGCAGAAATCATACAGAATAATTAACAAGATTTTTAAAAAGTAATAGCCAAATGGCCACGGAATTTCCCTAAGCCACTGTAAAATATTAAATGGAGAAAGAGAAAGCACCCAGACCACTTCTGAAGGACTTCATGCTTGTAAAGCTGGGTGGATTTTTCATGGCTTGTTCTTTAAAGAATTGACCCCAAATGTGATTAAAAGGAGTTGGCACAGGATGGGAAAACATTGAGCCATCAACCCTTAGCTCTGAGATGAACCTATAGTTTGCCCTCATCTTTTTTTTTTTTTAAAATAGTTTTTATTAAAGATTTCTGGTGCTACAGAAGGCTTGCCCACATCTTGAGTTTTATTTTCTGTTTGCAAAGTATCTCTACCCGGTAAAGGAGTCAGTTTCCCTGCTTGAATATTAGGGAGAGTTGCTTAAATACATAAAATGTTGAACAGATTCTAACAGGCTGCAGAAAAGAAAGAGATGTGAAGTAGGGCCTCTCCATCATTGATTGCAGGGAGTTGGACTAGATGACTCTTGGGTCCAACTCTAAGATTCTATGACTCTCTGAATAGCTTCACCGCAACAACAGCTGCCCTTGGCTCACCCTCTCCCTCAATTGCCCCCTAGCAACAGTCTTTCCATTAAGGTGCAACAGAGGGAGAGAACAGAAGAATTTCCATTTAACTGCCTCAATTCAGATTCTATGGACAGAGCATAGATTTGGTTTGATTCATACTTCTGCCTGCCAACCTGCACTTAACCTGCCTCCCTTGGCTGACAGTGCTTTTCCCAGCTCTTGCAAAAAGAACATACCTGCAGGTGTAAGGAACAGGAAAACACAGATTGCAAGAAGTACTTGACTTGGGATGGACATCTTGGTATCAAAAGGTGTGTTCTCCAGCAGAGCCCCAAATCACAGAGGAATAGATGTGGACCTTCACTAGATTGCTCCAGGGTGGAGAAGCTTCTTCCTTTGATCCTTTTAACAACAGCCTAGAGATCATGGTGTCCTCAGAAAGGAACTATAAAGATAAATGGGTGGGCCATAACATCATGAACTGGCCACTCATCACAGAACAAAAATCCCAATTTAAGTGAGAACTTGAAGTGTGGGTGGAACAGATTCTTTGATGTCAGGGCTTCAATGGCCTCTGCAAGTCTCCACTGGCACACCTGCCACTTTTAGGACCAAATAAATGCATGGCAAATTCATAAATATCATCAATGCTTGCCCAACAATAAATGGACAATGGTTTTAATGTTTAATTCAACTTTTAGGTGTTGAATGGTCTCTTTAAATTTGAAGGTTCATTATTGTTCCACAAGATGTGTATGTCTTTAAGAGCCAGAGCAAATAACGTGACCTAGCTTTACAGCCGTGAAACAGTATAGCAGGTGCTGCTAAGTTGTGTTAATTAAGCTGTGTCAGCAATTGGGTATAGTATATAAAGAGCAGCACCTAGCTCTCTCAGTACACTGGTGGTTGGGTTGGTGGATGGGTCATGTTTACTGATATATTAAGTGTGAAAGGAGTTTTTGTATTTGTTATTAAAGCCTAGCTAAAGTTATTTTGTGTTCCTTGTAATGTGTGGTCTCCCCAGCAAGCTCTCTTTTTGGCCAGAAACTGAAATGAAACAGTCATCAGCCTATGACCTTGTGAGTTTTACATTTCATCATTTGCCTGTTATGTATGTGCTTTCTTGGCCAGCGGATGCATTTGCTCTGGTACACTTCCCACAGTGTACTGAAATTATATGAAGGCAGGCAGGAGTTGGGACATTGCTATCTGAGTTCAGCCAGATGGAACTATACTGTGTACCTTAAGTACAATGTGCAATTGCATTCTCTCTTTATGGGTTTCTTGTGTGTCCTGAATGCATTTCTAATGTGCAGGAGCTCTGTGTACCAACTTGTCAGGAACACTTTCTCTGGCAATCACGCTTTGAGAGCTGCTTCCGATTACCAGTTGCTGAAAATAACCGGAGGGGAGAAGACCCTTGTGCTTGGGTCCTTCAAGCCAGTTTCCCACAGGCCTCTGGCTGACTCTTATGAGAACAGAATGCTGGAGTGAATTGGTCATTGGCCTGATCCAGCAGGCTCTTCTCATCTTCTTAATTTTGCACTCAAAACCAAATTCTGAAATTCTAAATAAAGTATTACTAGATAATCTGGACATTGGCATTAACATTACATGTCACATTTCATGTTCATTGAATGAAAGCTGAAAAAAAGGTGATCCTGTATGGGTCTACTCAGAAGTGAAATCTACTTAGTTAAATGGCGCTTACTCCTTGGTAAGTGGGTGTAGGTTTACTGACTGAGTGGATAAAGTCTCTTCAATACACTGGAACATCATGTTACGGACGGAATCCATTCCGGAGGCCCGTCCATAACATGGAATTGATGCAAGCCAAAGCGCTGCGCCTGCGCATGTGCACGGTGTGATTTAGTGCTTCTGCGCATGCACCAGTCGCAAAATCCAGAAGTAACCCTTTCCAGTACTTCCGGGTTGCTGCGGGACACAACACGAAAACACGTAACCTGAAGCGGACGCAACAGGAGGTGTGACTATACAAAATAAAACAAAGGATGTTGAAAGGAAGTCCTATAACACTTTCTTGTTCTTTGGGTGTGGGGGAATGCATTTAGTCTTTCAGGAACGTCAAGACTCTGCTTCTTATTTACACATCTTGGCTATCAAAATCTGCTATAAGTGTGCCAGTGGAGACTTGCAGAGGCCATTGAAGCCCTGACATTGAAGCTGAGATACACATTTTTGTACGCATCATTTGATTGGGGAACTGCATCGTAAAATGTAGAGAAGTGCCAGTCTTGAAGATTTGCATGTTGTTTCAGGAACTTCCAATTGGGTAGGTTTGCATTGCAAGTCCTCACTAAACTGAATTTCTTCTCCATCTCTACCTATAAGACACCACTAGATGCAGCAGCCATCAGAGGGGGGTGGGTAAGGCAAGGCAACGTTGCTCACCTGTATTCCCAACACTGAGCATTCCTGAGAGGAGGAAGGGTGAGACACAGGGTAGGGAGTTCAGTGAAGAAGAGGAAGAAGAGGAAGAAGAAGAAGAAGAAGAAGAAGAAGAAGAAGAAGAGGAGGAGGAGGAGGAGGAGGAGGAGGAGTTGTTGTTGTTGTTGTTTGGATTTGATATCCCGCTTTATCACTACCCGAAGGGGTCTCAAAGCGGCTAACATTCTCCTTTCCCTTCCTCCCCCACAACAAACACTCTGTGAGGTGAGTGGGGCTGAGAGACTTCAGAGAAGTGTGACTAGCCCAAGGTCACCCAGCAGCTGCATGTGGAGGAGTGGAGACGCGAACCCGGTTCACCAGATTACGAGTCTACTGCTCCTACCCACTACGCCACACTGGCTCCCAGTGAGGTGCAAACATGGTGGCAGGAGCACTGGACTACCTCTGCTAAGCCTCTTCCTTCCTCAGAACTAACAGTGACTCTTGGGGTTGGGAAGGCAGGTGTTGGGAAGAAGCTGCCCAGCTTGTGCTGCTCCACCATGCACGAAGTGTTGGCCTGAGGGTTTCTAAAATTAAAAGACCTTAGAGGCCAGTTACCAGGAATAGCATTTTCTTGCCAGAGATCTGCAGAGTTCTAACAAGTTTCTTACCTGTTTGGGTTGGGGTTTTTTAAACTATAAATTTTGGTACCATGTCTTTGTTATTCCCAGCACAGTACATTTTTTCCCCCCCACATCTAAACCTGATCTGCAAAAACAATTATACAGGATACAGGAAGGTTTCTAAGTAGGCCAAATGAACACAATCCCAGGACCCCTGGCTGACTATACTGCTGATGCTTACCTAATGTGCTTCATAACTACTTGGGGTACCACAGAGAGACGTTGCATTTTACTTTGAAAAGGAGGAGTTGGGTGAATTGTTTTTTCAAGTGAACACGCAGCCTCCTGTGTAGAAGTGTTTTTTGTATCTTATTCAGGGGCAGAGAATAAATGATAAAAAGGATAATCTAGCCTGAAAATGTCCATTCTCTCTCTCTTCTATTGGCCTTGGACAAGGATGAGGAATCTCTGCCCAATCTCTTTTGGACTTCCAGTAGATGAAGGCAGCTGTAGTCAAGCCATGTCTGGAAGACTGCAGGTTACCAAACCCTGAACTAGGAGAAACTCTATAGCAGTTGTATGCCCAACAGCCGTTCTAGGGAGCTATACAGATTGCTGCTAATACACAAACTGATTTACACCAGTACTTCCGAGGAACACTGATTTAGTCATCAAGAGACCAAACAAGTGACGTTAAATGTGCCTTTTCAGTTAACATTAAACATAAATAAAAATAGATATTTATATAACTTATTCAAAGTGTTGGTGCTGACCTTTAAAGCCCTAAACAGCCTTGGCCCTGTATTCCTGAAGGAGCATCTCAGCCCCATCGTTCTGCCCAGACATTGAGGTTCAGCTCTGATGGTCTTCTGGTGGTTCCCTCACTACAAGAAATGAGCTTACAGGGAACCAGGCAGAGGGCCTTCTCAGTGGTGATTCTCTCCATGTGGAACGTCCTCCAATCAGATGTCAAGGAGATAAATAACTATACAACTTTTAAAAGACATCTGAAGGCAGCCCTGTTTAGGGAAGTTTTTAATGTTTGATGTTTTATTATGATTTAAATTTGTTGGAAGCCACCCAGAGTGGCTGGGGAAACCCAGCCAGATGGGTGGGATACAAATAATAAAATTATTATTATTATTACTATATACCTCTATTAATCAAGTCTGATTTGAGGTGGTTTACAATGTCAGAAAAATCCCCCACATGGATGCATCTTCTATTGATGATGTTGCTTTCCTCACAAAAGTGACCAAAATCAACTTACAAAAACAATAAATCTCTAAAACCAAGTGTAACAAACAATCAATTACAGGGCCCAGTGAGGTTGTCAGGATAAAACAGAGCCAAGGAATAAGAGGAGATTTCAGAGGCACACAGAAAGCCATTTATCAACCAAATGGTTTCAAGCATCATAACTCCGCCCAATCTGAAAGGTGGCTTTGGTTTAAAGAAATGAAATGGAATTTCTACCAAGGAAGAGGAATAATAGATTAGGCAATGCATTGGATCTGCAATAATGGTAGTTAGTCAACTCAATATGGAGATGAGTGGTTTTATCCTTCAGGTGCCTGCCAAACTTGTCACAGCATGTCTTTGAAGGTCCCCTCACTCTCTTGCCCTGTACAGATGCCCGTAGTCTTTTTGCAACACAGCAGTCTGATTGGTCCACAGGAGCCACCCAATCCGCAACCTGATTGGCCTACAGGTGAATCCCAGAATTAGCCAATCATGTGGGGCCCATTATGTAAATAATGTATATAAAGCAGACATTCTGGGGGAACTTCTATTCCTCCTCACCACTATGAGCTGAATAAAGAGCATGAAATCCACTCTTGACTCCGAGTATATTTCAGTGGCAGTGATACAGCACCGGAAAGGCAAGGAGTCTTAACTCTGTCCCATATTCAGGAGGACCACCGGCTTTCAGGTTCCTGTCCCATGCCCTAATAATTTGTGACCCACACACCATAGATTGCTTTCCTATTTAGAATTAATGTGCTCCGTATGTTTTACAGTTGGTAGAGCCCAGCTCTATGATGGGGAATTGACACCTAGGATCTCATTGCTTTGAACTGCATTGAATCCCCCCCATATGTTTAATCTACTCAAATCCCTGGTGAGATGTTCATTCTCAGTCATGGCAGTCCAGTCTCATTACAACAATCTAACGCTTCCACTTATTTTGGCAACACTCTGTATAGCTGACTGCTCAATTAAGCAATGACATTTTCCCTAAACTACCATTTTACTTCTTGCCATTCTGCTAGTGACCAGTAATTAAATTCAGGAGCAGGAGGTGAAGTGAGAGGCAGAAAGGATTTGGTATTTGGTAAAAAGTGTTCCGCATCCTCAGAAATTCTTCTAGCATTGTCAACAAGCAAAGCATAACAAAGGGAGAGTTTATTGTTATAGGGCAATGAATGCTTAGAGTCAATCTGAAAAGATTAACTGATATGGTTTAAAAACAGCAGGAACAGTGGAGGAGTGCATGTCTGCCATTCAGTCCCATTCTCTGTTTTGTTTTGAAGGTTCCAGTGGAAGAGAGCTGAAGGATCCATTGCTCTTTCCATTATTCAGGATCCTGCATGGAAAAGACCCTATAGCCGAGTTGCTGGCAAGACTGATTAATAAAAGACTGATAAAATGTTTTATGTGAGCACTGCAATCGAAGAAGAGGAAGAAGAAGAAGAGGAAGAAGAGGAAGAGGAAGAAGAGGAGGAAGAAGAAGAGGAGGAAGAAGAAGAAGAAGAGATTCATTGATCTTGAATCCACACACCTAAAACTATATGACACCACTTTAAACAGTCATAGATTTCCCCAAATAATCCTAGGAATGGTGGTTTTTTAAAGTTGCCACAGCTCCCTAAGAAGAAGGATTGATTGTTAAACAACTCTGGAATTGTAGCTCAGGGAAGGAATAGGAGAGTTTATAAGCAACTCTTAGCACCCTTAATAAACTACAGGGCAACTGATATGACTTTTCATATGTGATGGTCATGTGAGCTGTTACAACCATTCTGGGAAAGAGTATGTACAGAAATAAGCAAAATCACGGATCAGGACATATAATGTAATCCAAGCCTAGGCTTATTAACAGATATTCAACTTAATTTGTTATACAAGGAAATTATTGATTTTCTTCTGGTGGCTGTACAATTACTCATAGCAAAGTAATTGATCACCTTCTGTTCCAGGGAGAGGTGGTAGGAATGGGGAAACCCAATTGTTCTGTTAATGTTTATATTTTTCGAAAGCGATAACAATTTTTTTTAAAAAAAATGGAATAAAAATAAATGACAACTCCAAGATTTTAGGGGTGGGGGAAGCCATGGCTGTTTAAAGTGGCATCATAGTAATTTAAATGCATGGTGCGAATGTGGCCTAAGACAAAATAAAACATATTTCTGTGTTCCGCTAGGAGTGAGGTCTTGCAACATGAATGCCTCGTTGCTATATATAACACAGTGTCAGAACTCTTGAACAGATTTGCATCACCCACAACACCAGATTTAATTTTAAAAGTTGGCAGGCGTCAACAGAGATGGAGTGGGGTGAGGGGAAGGATTTGGACAGTCTGAGCCAGTGGTTCATAGATCCCACTTGAAAAAGCCAAAAGGAGCTGTGTAATAGGAAGCTGAATTGATGGCTTGAAACATGAGTTTTGATTAAAAAAAAGCAGGGAGTTGATGAAACTTTTGAAAGCAGAGGAAATGAGAGCAAGTGATATATAGAGTCAGTGAATTCTTTTTATTAACCAAGAAATCGACACATTGTGCATAACAACACTTGCCCACCGTTCTCTTGAAACCCAAGCTCCTCATGTTTCAAGTGTTCCTAAATGATTGACTTTGCAGAATACAGTGAGCAAAAATCTCCCCTTTCATGCTGATTTGGCTGCTATCGTATATTGCAGCCAAAATAGTCCTGGCCATTTTGAACACACTTACCCCCCTATCTTGGACCATTACACCACAGCATATAGCATATTTGAAAGAAAGGAAAACACAAGAAGGGTTGACAAGCTGAGGGGGAACAGAATAAATGTTTATTATTTTACGAAGGCAGAATCTTGAGGTGACTCTCAGCCTGTTTTAAAAGTTTGCATTGCAGAAATCAGAATCATCGCAGCATTTGACTTCCAGACAGATATCATTTTGATTAGGACAAGGCATATCACAGTTCACCATATCCGTCAATCCACAATCGAGTATTTTATCTCTAAACACCCCATCTGAGACAACGTGTGAAGAGGAAGAAAGAGGAAAAGAGAAAAGAGTGAAGATATGTATCATTCTCACCCTCAGGCACCACAATGATTAACTGGAATTCACATAAAATATCCAAAGTGCTGTCCATTAAAAAACCTGGTAATACTGATGGCTGAAAGAATAAAGAAACACAAGGGCTGAATCTAGATATATATATATATATATATATATATATATATATATATATATATATATAAACATTTTAGGAAAAAGTGTTGTAAACTTTATAATGGGAAATCACGTTGGCGAAAGATGGGACTCCACAGTGCCATCCAGTGTCACAGTGTTATAATGCATATAAAATGCTTTTTCTTTACTAATGCAGCTGAGTCCAACGTTTATTACTCTGGGGAAACAAAGCTATTCTGAATACAGGTACACATTGTCTCTCTCCACTTTTTCTACAGCCCCTAAATCTGCTCTAGAATGTAGAGAGAAACACACAAACAAGTTTAGGAAGCATATATGGGAAGGAGTGGAGTGGAGTATTGTGTGGTACCCACATGTGTACTGTGGGATATTGCAGTGAAACATAAGTATGCATGGAGGGTTTGAGACCAGAGACCTGTGTTTTATAGAATTGGGTCATACACCCTCTTTTCTGGTGATGTAAGTATCTTATTTGTCCTTCTTTTAATTATTTCAATGTGCTGGGGGGGGGTGACAAGAAATTTTCTGCACAGGGTACCACCTGACCTTGCTATGCCACTGAGTGATGGAGGAAATAAGACCTTCTCTTCCTTTCTACACTCACACTCTCTTCAACAATGCAACAGTCAGGAAAGAAATGTCTGAGCTTGTTGCATACAAGCTCAGACTGCATGCTTGAAGCTGTGCTTCAGACAAAGGCATTTCCATGAATCATTCCCCTTCTTGTATCACTAAGCTGAAAGAAATGGAAAATAAGCAGAAGGGGAATGTGGACTATGGAGCCCAAACAAGGCACAACCTTTGCAGCTGTTTCTTACTTTCGAGGGTGGTGATGCCAACACAGGTTCCTCCATCATCAACTTCACATGTTTGGTGGTTGCATGGTACTCCTGGTATCATTATTAGGCATTTTGCACAGAGGAGAGCATCTGCTCCAAAAGACAAAACCAAAATGTTGTGAATAATGGAGGGTTGCTTTGATGGATTATATTTCTATGCCGCTTTTCTTTCAAAGGAACCCCAAAGTGTCTTAGAAACAATGAATGACAATAGGATAATAGAGCATCAGAAATACATCACAAACCATAAGACAGAATACAGCAGAAATCATACAGAATAATTAACAAGATTTTTAAAAAGTAATAGCCAAATGGCCAAGGAATTTCCCTAAGCCACTGTAAAATATTAAATGGAGAAATGGAGAAAGAGGCAGCCCCCAGACCACTTCTGAAGGACTTCATGCTTGTAAAAGTAAAGCTGGGTGGATTTCTCATGGCTTGTTCTTTAAAGAATTGACCCCAAATGGGATTAAAAGGAGTTGGCACAGGATGGGAAAACATTGAGCCATCAACCCTTAGCTCTGAGATGAACCTATAGTTTACCCTCATCTTTTTAAAAAATAAATAGTTTTTATTAAATATTTCTTGTGCTACAGAAGGCTTGCCCACATCTTGAGTTTTATTTTCTATTTGCAAAGAATCTCTACCCGGTAAAGGAGTCAGTTTCCCTGCTTGAATATTAGGGAGAGTTGCTTAAATACATAAAATGTTGAACAGATTCTAACAGGCTGCAGTAAAGAAAGAGATGTGAAGCAGGGCCACTCCATCATAGATTGCAGGGAGTTGGACTAGATGACTCTTGGGTCCCTTCCAACTCAAAGATTCTCTGATCAGCTTCACTGCAACAACAGCTGCCCTTGGCTCACCCTCTCCCTCAGTTGCCACCTAGAAACAGTCTTTCCATTAAGGTGCAACAGAGGGAGAGAACAGAAGAAGGGCCATTTTATTGGCTAAGTTCAGATTCTGTGGACAGAGCATAAATTTGGTTTGGTTCATACTTCAGTATGAAACTACCTAAGTTGCATTTTCCTTTTCTTAACCTGCCTCCCTTGGCTGACAGTGCTTTTCCCAACTCTTGCAAAAAGAACATACCTCCAGGTGTGAGGAACAGGAAAACACAGATTGCAAGAAGTACTTGACTTGGGAAGGACATCTTGGTATCAAAAGGTGTGTTCTCCAGCAGAGCCCCAAATCACAGAGGACTAGATGTGGACCTTTACTGGATTCCTCCAGGTTGGAGAAGCTTCTTCCTTTGATCTTTTTAACAACAGCCTAGAGATTGTGGTGTCCTCAGAAAGGAACTATAAAGATAAATGGGTGGGCCATAACATCATGAACTGGCCACAGAACAAAAATCCCAATTTAAGTGAGAACTTGAAGTGTGGGTGGAACAGATTCTTTGATGTCAGGGCTTCAATGGCCTCTGCAAGTCTCCACTGGCACACCTGCCACTTTTAGGACCAAATAAATGCATGGCAAATTCATAAATATCATCAATGCTTGCCCAACAATAAATGGACAATGGTTTTAATGTTTAATTCAACTTTTAGGTGTTGAATGGTCTCTTTAAATTTGAAGGTTCATTGTTGTTGCACAAGATGTGTATGTCTTTAAGGGCCAGAGCAAATAACGTGACCTAGTTTTACAACCGTGAAACAGTATAGCAGGTGCTGCTAAGTTGTGTTAATTAAGCTGTGTCAGCAATTGGGTATAGTATATAAAGAGCAGCACCTAGCTCTCTCAGTACACTGGTGGTTGGGTCATGTTTACTGATATATTAAGTGTGAAAGTAGTTTTTGTTTTTGTTATTAAAACCTAGCTAAAGTTATTTTGTGTTCCTTGTAATGTGTGGTCTCCCCAGCAAGTTCTCTGCAGCGCAACTAGTCTGCAAATAGCCAACATTAGGACCAAATAAATGCAGGGCAAAATCAGAAATGTCATCAATGCTTGCCCAACAATAAATGGACAATGGTTTTAATGTTTCTAATTTGATACAATAAATCTGTAGAAATGACAATATAAACACCGCAAAGCTATACTTACCTCACAACCTTATGCATGCCCATTCAAAAATAACTTCAAGGAGACCTTTAATCCTCACTAATATAGAAAAGATGGGAGTGACAATCTTATAGCAGATTTTGATAGCCAAGATGTGTAAATAAGAAGCAGAGTCCTGACGTTCCTGAAATACTAAATGCATTTCCCCACTCCCAAAGAAGAAGAAAGTGTTATAGGATTTCCTTTCAACGTCTTTTGTTTTATTTTGTATTGAAGAGACTTTGTCCACTCAGTCAGTAAACCTACACCCACTTCCCAAGGAGTAAGCTCCACTGAACTCAGCAGAGTTCACTTCTGAGTAGACCCATACAGGATCACCTTTTTCAGGTTTCATTCAAGGAACAAGAGATGAGTCGTATAATGTTCATGGTAAGGTCCAGAATATCTAGTAATACTTTATTTAGAATTTCAGATTTTGGTTTTGAGTGCAAAATTAAGAATGTAAGAAGAGCTTGCTGGAACTGGCAACTAATTTGGATGGCTTTCAGTGACGTTTGGACATATTAATGGAAGATAAGGCTATCCGTGCCTAGTAGCCATGATAGTTATGCTTTGCCCCGAGGGTTGGAGACAGTATTACTGTGATGGCTTGGGACTCAGGCTCAGACTCGGAACCAGAGGAGTCCCAGTCTGCAGAGGTTCCCTTGCAACAAACACCAACTGGGCCGAGTCAGGTGCCTGAGCCTGCCCTGGCTCCAGATGCGGGGATTAGCTTGTTGCCTTCAGCTGGGCCATCACTTACAGCTGCTCCACTACCGGTTTGGTCAGGGGAGGTTGAGGCAGCCCCTGGGTCTAGTAACACACCAGTGTCTCCCTAGCTGCAGAGACTAAGGTCTGAGAGAAGGAGAGACCTGAGTACTTGCAGGAGTGCTCACCTTCGAGCGAAACAGGGAGGTGAGTCGCCTGGGGATCAGGACCGGCCATTGCCCCAACAAAGATAAAAGGCTGTCAGACCCCGCCCCAGGTTGCGGGAGCAACATTGCTGTATGCTAGATCCTGCCTGAGATCCTGTACTTGTCCTTGCCTGGATTCCTGCCTCGTGTCCTGCCTTGACCCTGTCGGACTGACTCCTAGCAGAACCTTTAGATTCTGGACTGGACCTGGACCAAGGTTCTCATGTTACCCCCGGGCCCAGCACAATTACTTCCAAATATCCTTAAAATAATGAATTGTTGTGGAATTCTGGAAAACTGAATTGAGGAATCAAGAAATGAGACAGAATCCAAAATTAACAAATGTGTCAGTTGTCATAGTGCTTCTCTCCCATGGCATGTGTGTATAAGCTGCCTGCCTCTTCTTAGTCAATGTGTGTGGCCACTGGCATGAACCCCTTGCACCTTCAGAATTTCCCTGGAGTTGAAAAAGAGGATCCATCTCTGCACTAATATATTTCCCCTTTAAATGTTGACATGGCAAGCTTTACTTTGCATTCTTGGAAACAGAATTGACACAGTCATCAGCCTTCACCCTCCTGCAAAGAATAAAAATTATATATGTTTCTCTTTAGCTTGTCCTCCTTTCTTGGTTTTTTCTTTTCTTTTCTTTCAAGTATGATATATGCAGTGGTGTAATAGTCCAAGATAGTGGGGGGGAGGGTGTTGAGTGGGTTCAAATTAGTCAGTGCTATTTCAGCTGCAGTATCCTAAGGTACAGTAAAGGTAAAGAGACCCCTGACAGTTAAGTCCAGTTGTGAACGACTCTGGGGTTGCGGCGCTCATCTCGCTTTACAGGCCGAGGGAGCCGGTGTTTGTCCTCTCTGCAGACAGTTTTTCCAGGTCATGTGGCCAGCATGACTAAGCCGCTTCTGGCACAAACGAACACCGACACCAGAGTAGCACACGGAAACCTCGTTTACCTTCCTGCCGGAGCAGTACTTATTAATCTACTTGCACTTTTTGGTGTGCTTTTGAGCTGCTAGGTTGGCAGGAGCTGGGACAGAGCAACGGGAGCTCACGCCGTTGCGGGGATTCAAACCGCCAACCTTTTGATTGGCAAACCCAAGGCTCAGTGGTTTAGACCACAATGCCACCCATAGTATCCTAGAACAGCCCAATCAGCATGTGTCAGGGAATGGTCTGAATCAGAGGATTGGGGAATGAATTCTCAGGCAGATCAGATCCTGTTTGAAGAGGAGCTGGAGGAGTGGGAATATTCGCGCCTATTGTCTCCAGCAGTTTCAGAAGCAGGGAGAGACACAGACACAGAGCATCTTAGACAGGAGTTGCCTAGCTACGAGATAATGGAAAGAAAAACAGAAGGGAAGGAACAGCCAGCAGAGACATCATTAGAGAGTATGGGAGACCCTCTCTACCCCAAAACTAGGAGGTCTGTCCGTATTAGAGAACAAAGAATGCAGAGAGGAGGAACTTCTCGTTGACGCCCGGGATGTTGTGGGAGATGGAAGGGAGAGGGTTCATAGTAGCCAACTTCGCTCCTTGTGGAGGGATATGGATTTTTGCTAGCAACCAGATGACTGAATAAAAAGGACTATAAAATAGAAAGTGCTCGTTAATTCTCGTCTTTGAAGTCACTGAAGGGAGGGGAGGACTCCCCATGCCTTATAGAATGAAAGGGGAGTTTTTTGGCCAGAAACTGAAATGAAACAGTCAACAGCCTATGACCTTGGGAGTTTTACATTTCATCATTTGCCTGTTATGTATGTGCTTTCTTGGCCAGCGGATGCATTTGCTCTGGTACACTTCCCACAGTGTACTGAAATTATATGAAGGCAGGCAGGAGTTGGGACATTGCTATCTGAGTTCAGCCAGATGGAACTATACTGTGTACCTTAAGTACAATGTGCAATTGCATTCTCTCTTTATGGGTTTCTTGTGTGTCCTGAATGCATTTCTAATGTGCAGGAGCTCTGTGTACCAACTTGTCAGGAACACTTTCTCTGGCAATCACGCTTTGAGAGCTGCTTCCGATTACCAGTTGCTGAAAATAACCGGAGGGGAGAAGACCCTTGTGCTTGGGTCCTTCAAGCCAGTTTCCCACAGGCCTCTGGCTGACTCTTATGAGAACAGAATGCTGGAGTGAATTGGTCATTGGCCTGATCCAGCAGGCTCTTCTCATCTTCTTAATTTTGCACTCAAAACCAAATTCTGAAATTCTAAATAAAGTATTACTAGATAATCTGGACATTGGCATTAACATTACATGTCACATTTCATGTTCATTGAATGAAAGCTGAAAAAAGGTGATCCTGTATGGGTCTACTCAGAAGTGAAATCTACTTGGTTAAATGGCGTTTACTCCTTGGTAAGTGGGTGTAGGTTTATTGACTGAGAGGATAAAGTCTCTTCAATACACTGGAACATCATGTTACGGACGCAATCCATTCCGGAAGCCCGTCCGTAACATGGAATTGATGCAAGCCAAAGCGCTGCGTCTGCGCATCTGCACGGTGTGATTTAGTGCTTCTGCGCGTGCACTAGTCGCAAAATCCAGAAGTAACCCTTTCCAGTACTTCCGGGTTGCTACGGGACGCAACACGAAAACATGTAACCTGAAGCGGATGCAACATGAGGTGTGACTGTACAAAATAAAACAAAGGATGTTGAAAGGAAGTCCTATAACACTTTCTTGTTCTTTGGGTGTGGAGGAATGCATTTAATCTTTCAGGAACGTCAAGACTCTGCTTCTTATTTACACATCTTGGCTATCAAAATCTGCTATAAGTGTGCCAGTGGAGACTTGCAGAGGCCACTGAAGCCCTGACATCAAAGAATCTGTTCCACGCACACTTCAAATTCTCACTTAAATTGGGATTTTTGTTCTATGATGAGTGGCCAGTTCATGATGTTACGACCCACCCATTTATCTTTATACTTCCTTTCCAAGAACATCATGATCTCTAAGGTGTTATTAAGAGGATCAAAGGAAGAAGCTTCTCCAACCTGGAGGAATCCAGTAAAGGTCCACATCTATTTCTCTGTGATTTGGGGCTCTGCTGGAGAACATACAGTGTCCTTTTGATACCAAGATGTCCATCCGAAGCCATGTACTTCTTGCAATCTGTGTTTTCCTGTTCCTTACACCTGGAGGTATGTTCTTTTTGCAAGAGTTGGGAAAAGCACTGTCAGCCAAGGGAGGCAGGTTAAGAAAAGGAAAATGCAACTTAGGTAGTTTCATACTGAAATATGAACCAAACCAAATTTATGCTTTGTCCACAGAATCTGAACTTAGCCAATGAAATGGCCCTTCTTCTGTTCTCTCCCTCTGTTGCACCTTAATGGAAAGACTGTTGCTAGGTGGCACCTGAGGGAGAGGGTGAGCCAAGGGCAGCTGTTGTTGCAGTGAAGCTGATCAGAGAATCAGAGAATCTTAGAGTTGGAAGGGACCCAAGAGTCATCTAGTCCAACTCCCTGCAATCAATGATGGAGTGGCCCTGCTTCACATCTCTTTCTTTACTGCAGCCTGTTAGAATCTGTTCAACATTTTATGTATTTAAGCAACTCTCCCTAATATTCAAGCAGGGAAACTGACTCCTTTACCGGGTAGAGATACTTTGCAAATGGAAAATAAACCTCAACATGTGGGCAAGCCTTCTGTAGCACAAGAAATATTTAATAAAAACTATTTATTTAAAAAAAGATGAGGGCAAACTATGGGTTCATCTCAAGGCTCGAGTGGATGGTGCAATGTTTTCCCATCCTGTGCCAACTCCTTTTAATCCCGTTTGGGGTCAGTTCTTTAAAGAACAAGCCATGAAAAATCCACCCAGCTTTACTTTTACAAGCAGAAAGTCCTTCAGAAGTGGTCTGGGGGCTGCCTCTTTCTCCATTTCTCCATTTCACATTTTACAGATGCTTAGGGAAACTCCGTGGCCATTTGGCTATTACTTTTTTAAAATCTTGTTAATTATTCTATATGATTTCTGTTGTATTTCTGATGCTCTATGATTCTATTGTCATTCATTGTTTCTAAGACACTTTGGGGTTCCTTTGAATGAAAAGTGGCATAAAAATATAATCCATCAATCAAAGCAACCCTCCGCTATTCACAACATTTTTGTTTTCTCTTTTGGAGCAGATGCTCGCCTATGTATAAAATGCATCGTTATGATACCAGGAGTGCCATGCAAACACAAAACATGTGAAGTTGATGATGAAGGAATCTGCATTGGCATCATAACCTATAAAAGTAAGAAACAGCTGCAAAGGTTGTGCCTTGTTTGGGCTCCATGGTCCACATTCCCCTTCTGCTTATTTTCCATTTCTTTCAGCTTAGTGATACAACAAAGTGGAATACAGTGGTGCCTCGCAAGACGAAATTAATTCGTTCCGCGAGTTTTTTCGCCTAGCGAATTGTTCGTCTTGCGAAGCACGAAATCCCATAGGAATGCATTGAAATTCAATTAATGCGTTCCTATGGTCAAAAAAAGTCCAAACAAAGCCAAATTTGGTACAACAAGAGTTTATTAAGTGCTCGTTAAAGTCACACATACTGTAAAGAGCATTTCAAAAACTGAAGGAACAATAAATTAAGTTTCTAAACATGACAGAAAAACATTTAAAAATCAACAAAGTGTACAGTACATTTTCTAAGACTCTGGGGGACAACTCGAAGAAGGTTCCTCTTCCACTCTTTGCTTCTTGCTGAAGAACCCCCTCCTCAACTGTTCCCCCAGCCACCCACCACACAGAAATTCAAATCCAGAATTTTTTTTAAAAAACAGCAAAGTGCCCAATGGTCACAGAAAATCATAAAAATGCAGAAAAAACACACACAAGCTTCCAGATTCTTGCAAACCCCTCCCCAACACCAAGTCCTTGAATTCCAAACACCCCAACCCAAAATCCAACCCCCCCAAAAAAAGTTTTAAAAGTTTAAAAGAAGTTTTGGAAAAGCTTCAAAAATCACCAAAGTCTTCAAAAACCTCAAAAAAGGCTACCGAGTTGCTCCTCGAAGTCAAGTCGCAACTGTATTAACGGTGTTTAGAAAAAGGAAACAAACTTGCAAGACGTTTTCGTTTTTCGTCTTGCGAAGCAAGCCCATAGGGAAATTCGTCTTGCGAAGCAGCTCAAAAAACGGAAAACCCTTTCGTCTAGCGAGTTTTCCGTCTTGCGAGGCATTCGTCTTGCGGGGCACCACTGTAATTCATGGAAATGCCTTTGTCAGAAGCATAGCTTCAAGCATGCAGTCTGAGCTTGTATGCAGCAAGCTGAGACATTTCTTTCCAGGTTGTTACATAGTTGAAGAGAGTGTGAGTGTAGAAAGGAAGAGAAGGTCTTAATTCCTCCATCACCCAGTGGCGTAGCAAAGTCAGGTGGTACCCCGTGCAGAAAATTTCTTGTCACCCCCCCCCCAGCACATTGAAATAATGAAAAGAAGGACAAATAAGATACTTACATCACCAAAGAAGAGGGTGTGCAACCTAATTCTATAAAACACAGCTCTCTGGTCTCAAACCCTCCATGCATACTTATGTTTCGCTGCAATATCCCACTGTATGCATGTGGGTACCAAGGTCAGCTCACAAAATAAGCATTGCCCCCCCTCCTTCCCATATGTGCCTCCTAAACTTGTTTGTGGGTTTCTCTCTACCTTGTAGAGCAGATTTAGGGGCTGTAGAAGAAGGTGGAGAGAGACATGTGTACTTGTATTCAGAATAGCTTTGTTTCCCCAGAGTAATAAACCTTGGACTCAGCTGCATTAGTAAAGAAAAAGTGTTTTATATGTGTTATAACACTATGACACTGGATGGCGCTGTGGAGTCCCATCTTTCTCCAACGTGATTTCCCATTATGAAGTTTACAACACGTTTTCCTAAATATATATATATGTATATATATATATATATATATATATATATGTCTCGATTCAGCCCTTTTGTTTCTTAATTTTTCAGCCATCAGTATTACCAGGCTTTTTAATGGAGAGCACCTTGGATATTTTAAGTGAATTCCGCTTAATCATTGTGGGGGACTGAGGGTGAGAATGATACATATCTTCACTCTTTTTTCTTTTCCTCTTTCTTCCTCTTCACACCTTGTCTCAGATGAGAAGTTTATAGATAAAATACTCGATTGTGCAAAGAAGGATAAAGTGCGGTGTGAAAATTCTTTACAGCGAAACAACATGCTTCAGGAACTCAGGTGCTGTGATGATACTGATTTCTGCAATGCAAGCTTTTAAAACAGGCTGAGAGTCACCTCAAGATTCTGCCTTCCTGCAAAGAATAAACGTTTATTCTGTTCGCCCTCAGCTTGTCAACCTTTCTTGTTTTTTCCTTTCTTTCAAATATACTATATGTCCAAGATGGGGGGTGGGTATTATTTTGGCTGCAGTATCTGATAGAACCCCAAACAGATCAGAGCCCGCCAAACTTGAAGCATGGGAAGTCCCAACAAAATATTTATAATTTAGGCTGAATATTTGGACTATTTGATATGTATTTGTTTAATTTTGAACATTCTATGTAATTTGATTGGATTGTTAAAAGGTGAAATGATTTAAAAAGGAAAAAAGCAGCCCAAACAGCATAAAAGGTGAGATTTTTGGTCACTGTATTCTGCAAAGCTAAACATTTAGGAACACTTGAAACATGAGGAGCTTGTGTTTCAAGAGAATGGTGGGCAAGTGTTATGAACAATGCGTTGATTTCTTGGTTAATCAAAAAGAATTAACTGGCTATATATATATCGCTCTTATTTCCTCTACTTTCAAAACTTTCATCAACTCTGTATTTTTTTTAATCAAAACTTATGTTTCAAGCCATCAATTCAGCTTCTTACTACACAGCGCCTTTGGGCTTTTTCAAGTGGGATCTATGAACTTCTGACTCAGACTTTACAGATCCTTCCCTTCACCCCACTCCATCCCTTTCAGCCCTATGAATTCTGAAATTGAATTTTTCTACCTATATACTGACACCTGCCAACTTTTAAAATTAATTCTGGTGTTGTGGGAATGGAACCCCCACTTGTGCAGGGGTTCCATTCCCAGCTGCCCCATGCATCAGCGAAACACACGTAATTCTGTCGCTCCCTTTTCTGCCCCCACCCTGCCCTGCCCTCACCTCACTCCCGTCTGGTGCCAAAAATGCTGCTCATGTCAGCAGCCCCACATGTGCTGATTGTGTGCAAGAAGATGGTGCCTGCATTTATTTCTGTACTCTGATGCAATATATACACCAAACTCCCAGTCAATAGGGAATACAGACACAGCTCATTGGAGAGCACCTTGGATATTTTATGTGAAATCCAGTTAATCATTGTCGTGGTGGTGGTCATGACCCAAACATTCACGCTTTTCTCTCTTCCTCTTTCCTCCTTTCCACCCCTTGTCTCGGTTACTGGCAAAATACTTGGTTGCAAGACGGATAAGTCTTTGAAGTGTGGTTATATAACTTATAAGCCAGAGCTCATCACCCATTATGAACTCCAGTGCTGCAGGGGTAAGGGTTTTTGCAATGCAAAACTGTAAGACAGGCTGAAAGCAACGTCAAGATTCTACACTCCTGCAAACAATAAACGTTTATGCTGTTTCCCCCTGGCTTGTCAATTTTTCTTGTTTTTGTTTTAATTGAGCTATGAGAAGTGGTCTAGTGGTCTGGGAAAGCAGGCAGGGGCTGGGGGTTCGAAAGAGAAAGTACTATCCCCCCCCCATGAGTACAGTTTGGCCACTGTGTTCTACAAAGCTGGGACGCGGGTGGCGCTGTGGGTTAAAACACAGAGACTTGCTGATCAGAAGGTCGGTGGTTTGAATCCCTACAACGGAGTGAGCTCCCGTTGCTCAGTCCCAGCTCCTGCCAACCTAGCAGTTCGAAAGCACGTCAAAGTGCAAGTAGATAAATAGGTACCGCTCCGGCAGGAAGATAAACGGTGTTTCCATGCGCTGCTCTGGTTCGCCAGAAGCGGCTTAGACATGATGGCCACATGACCTGGAAGCTGTACGCCAGATCCCTCGGCCAATAAAGTGAGATGAGCGCAGCAACCCCAGAGTCAGTCACGACTGGACCTAATGGTCAGGTGTCCCTTTACCTTATTCTACAAAGCTAAGCATTTAGGGACTCTGAATAGACAAAACAGGATGCTGGACTGGATTGGCCATGCCATTGGCCACAACACTTGTGGGGGAGGATTTAAAAATAAATAAATAAAGCTCACCTTCTTAAACTGCTAGTGAATCTGGGACAGGGAGCTCCCTTAAACACTACTAGAGTCATTGATCTTCAAAGCTCTTGGGGGAGTCAGGGGTGTAGTGTACTTTCCAGGCACATTTTCAAAGGTTTATGGGCAGGGATAAAGAGGAAGTGGTTGGAACAATAGATCTGATGCTTGGAGTCAGGAGGGATTACCTAGCCCTCATGTTGTGAGTGAGGATATCCACACTGAATTGGATGGAGTGACCAATTAAGAAGCAGTTACCATATTTTTTGCTCTATAAGACGCACTTTTTCCCTCCTAAAAAGTAAGTGGAAATGTGTGTGTGTGTTATGGAGTGAATGCAGGCTGCGCAGCTATCCCAGAAGCCAGAACAGCAAGAGGGATCGCTGTGAGCGCTCCCTTTCACTGTTCTAGCTTCTGGCTTAGCCACGCGAAGCCTCTTCAGGGCATGGGGAGCCTTCATCCCGCTGCCCTGAAGAGGCTGCGCAGCTATTCCAGAAGCCAGAACAATGATCCTTCTCGGTGTTCTGGCTTCTGGGATTCAGAAAATTTTATTTCCTTGTTTTCCTCCTCCAAAAACTAGGTGCGTCTTATGGTCTGGGGCGTCTTATAGAGCGAAAAATACAGTACATATTAAATTGCTTTGCAATTTATCAGCCATGCCATGCTATTTCAAAATGAGAAGGTGCCCTCTGTTCACGTTCCCTTTGTTCCCTTGTGACTTCAATCCAAGAAATGGGGGAAATCCCCCACCTGATTCCCAAGAACTTCTGATTCCTCATCTGTCAGCTATATAGAGAGAATTATTCAACACATCCACCCCAATAAACTGTTCCTTTAGCATAGCCCCTACTCCCTGGAAGTGCCTACCCATTAATATTTCTCAGAGACACCCTCTCTGTAACTCTATCTAATGTCTTATCAGTATTTTTAATGAATATTTTATATGTCCTTATGAAAACTACAGGGTTTTTTGTCAAATAGGTGGTAGAGAAATCTTGTCAAACTGACACAATTAAAATACTTTGACCATCCTGGCTAGGGCAGCTGGCAGCTGAAGTCCAACAACATCTGGAAGAGATTCTCCATCCATAGCTGTCAACGTTTCCCTTTTTAAAAGGGAAATTCCCTTATTCCAAATAGGATTCCTTTCAAGAAAAGGGAAAAGTTGACAGCTATGTCTCCATCTCTGTTCTGAGAAGAGTCATAGCCAAGTACAGGCTTAGTATATATGGGGCACCGTGTTCATATCTTGGATTTCTTCTCTTGTCTTTTCTTTTGATGTGATCTATTGGCAAACACAAACTAGAGATGGCGCAGTGCTATAGCCAATGGTGATGGCAGCAACCCCATTGGGCACTTGTTTAATATATGTTGTGCCTGTCTTAGCTGTTCTCTGTTCCCATCAGCCCTAGCAGTTGGTGGGCCACGCTGGAGGCACATCTTGGGATGAGCCCATAGTGTCATAAACATAATATACTTGCCCTTCTAATTAGCAATACTTTTCACATGCTCTGTGAGGATGCTGTCCTCAACACCAGCTTTCCTTTTTGTGAGTGAATGGAATCGTTCACATATGACCACAGAGCTATTGGCTCCTACAGGAGGCAGTTGTGGCCACCAGCTTAGGTGCCTTTGAAAGAGAACTGGTCAAATTCATGGAGTGGGAGGCCAACAATGACCATTAGCTATGATTGAGGTATATGCTTTGCCTCCATGGTCAGTTGCTGGAAACTGCAGGAGGGCAGAGTGCTCTTGTGTTTGGGTCCTCCTTGCCGCTTACCTGCAGGCATCTTGTTGGTCCCTATTAGAACAGGATGTTGGACTAGATAAAATATTGGCCTGATCCAGGAGACTCTTCTTATGTTTATAAACTTTCTACCATATTTTGTAACCCAAGGTTTCAGCCTGAGTTTTTCTTGCTGCTGTATGCAAAAACACATGAATCTGACCTTTGGAGATTGTAAGTAAAACCATTTTAACTTACTAAACGGTGTGGTTTATTAAATATTACAGAAGGTAGAAAGGGGAAACACTGTAATTGACTTAGAATGGGATCTCTAGAAGATCTAACAGCCCATATTCCCATGCTTTACTGCTGTATTTTTAAAACACTGTGGGGGGGGGGGGGGCTCTTTATTACCAGAGAGTCTTCAGTTCCATGTTTGAATTTAGGGATCCAGTAAATTCTTTCCAATTAACTAAAAAATCAACACACTGTCCGTAATAAATTTAACCACCCTTCTATTTGAAACCAAAGCCCCTTGGGTTTTCAGTGTTCCTAAATGCTTAGCTTTGTAGAATATTTTCCATTTTAAACCCCCAGCCCCTGCCTGCTAACCCGGACCACTAGACCAATTCACATAGAACAATTAAAACAAAACAATAAAAAAAATTGACAAGCCAAGGGGAAACAGCACAAACTTTTATTGTTTGCAGGAGTGTAGAATCTTGATGTTGCTTTCAGCCTGTCTTACAATTTTCCATTGCATAAATCCTTACCCCTGCAGCAGTGGAGTTCATAATGGGTTACGATCTCTGGCTTATAAGCTATAGAACCACACTTCGGAGAATTAGCCTTCCTGCAACCAAGTACTTTCCCAGAAACTTTCCCATCTGAGACAAGGGGTGAAAGGGAGGAAAGAGGAAGAGAAAAAAGAGTGAATGTTTGGGTCATGACCACCACCACAACAATGAGTAACTGGATTTCACATAAAATATCCAAGGTGCTCTCCAATGAGTTGTGTCTGTATTCCCTATTGACTGGGAGTTTGGTGTATACAGTGGTACCTCGGGTTACAGACGCTTCAGGTTACAGACTCTGCTAACCCAGAAATAGTATCTCAGGTTAAGAACTTTGCTTCAGGATGAGAACAAAAAATCGCACAGCAGCAGCGCGGTGGCAGAGGGAGGCCCCATTAGCTAAAGTGGTACCTCAGGTTAAGAACGGACCTCCAGACCGAATTAAGTTCTTAACCCGAGGCACCACTGTATATAGTAAAATAAAAGGTAAAGGACCCCTGGACGGTTAAGTCCAGTCAAAGGCGACTATGGAGTTGCGGCGCCCATCTCACTTTCAGGCCGAGGGAGCCGGCGTTTGCCCACAGACAGCTTTCTGGCTCATGTGACCAGCATGACTAAACCACTTCAGAGCACAGAAACAATAACAGGCACTGCCCTACCTGTGCACAATCAGCCCACAAGGGGCTGCTGTCAATGTGGCATTTTTGGCACCAGAAGGGGGTGAGGTGAGAGCAGCACAGGGGCGGAGAAGGGAAGGACACAATTACATATGTTTTGCTGGTGCATGTGGCAGCTGGGAATGGAATCCCTGCACAAGTGAGGAGTTGCCTGTAGTCAGGTAATGCTGATGCTATTCTCAGTATAGGCACACATGTTCCACCCTCCCCATCCTCGTGCACTCCTAAATCTGCTCTACAGGGTAGGGGAAAACCTCAGGCATGCATGTGGATAGGAGAGGTGGGGGGAAGATTGTTATGTGAGCAGACCTAGCTACCCACATGCAAACTGGGAAATTGCTGTCAAGGATAAGTGTGCATGAGCGCTAATTGGTGTATAAAGTAAGACAAGAGAACCATGTTCCCTAGACTCAGTTAAGATGCACACCCTCTTCTCCAGTGCAGGAGGAAGTGAAGCCTTCACTTCCTTTGCATGCTCACACTCTCTTCAACCATGCAGCAGCCAGGAAAGATGTGTCTGTGCTTATTTTCTCATATATATATATATATATATATATATATATATATATATATGAATAAAGAAGAGACAGAGGAATTGCAACATAGGACAGGAATTATGGTGGTTAATAAAGTGAAATACCTTGGAATTTGGCTAGCAACGAAAAATATAAATTTGTATAAAGATAATTACAAAATCACATGGAGAGAGATTAAAAAGGATTTAGAAATTTGGAACAGGCGGAAATTATCGGTGATTAAGATGAACGTTTTGCCTAGAATGTTATTCTTATTCCAAACAATTCCAGTGATCAAGGGGACAGGACAATGTAGAGAATGGCAAAAAATATTGTCGAGATTAGTCTGGCAGGGAAAGAAGCCGAGGATTAAAATGAAAATATCGATAGATAAAAAAGAAAGAGGTGGGTTTGCCTTACCAGATATGAATCTCTATTATGAAGCACCCTGTCTCATATGGTTAAAGGAATGGATAACATTGGAAAATACGGACCTTTTGGATTTAGAAGGTCCTGACAACAGGTACGGGTAGCACTCGTACCTGTGGTATGATAAGGTAAAAGTTCATAAAGGTTTTTTAAATCATGTGATCAGAAGGTCAATTTAAATTTATTGGAAAGGAAAATCCCATGGTGGATATTGCCAATAGAGGTACTGACTGTCAAAAAAGTGAATATGGAAGGAAGGCAAGCCACCTATGAGGAAATCATTAGAAAAATGGAACAAGGGTTAAAGCTTAAACCATATGATCAAATAGAAGGCATGTTTACAGGTTGGCTGCAATACCATCAGGTGAACGATATACTGAGTGAGGATAAAAGGAAAGCTGGGTTCAAGCTGCATCAAGATTTCAATTAGAATTAATAGAAGGCAGAGGTAAAATATTATCTAAGATGTATGATTTGTTATTAGAATGGTTTACAAAAGATGAAGAGGTGAAAGAAGCAATGATAAAATGGGCTATAGATTTTGGGCATAATATTGAATTGGATGCATGGCTAAAATTATGGAATGAAAGTATGAAATTCACGGCATGTACGGCTCTAAAAGAAAATTTAATGAAGATGATTTATAGGTGGCATTTGACACCAGTAAAGCTGGCAAAAATATATAGGATGAAGGACAAGAAATGCTGGAAATGCAAAGAGACGAATGGAGATTTCTATCACATGTGGTGGACTTGCGATAAAGTTAAGAATTTTGGGGAGTTGATCTATAATGAACTTAAGAAAATATTTAACTATACCTTTCCCAAAAAAAAAAACAAAGGCTTTTTTGTTGGGTTTGATGGGGAGGGAGATTAAGAAAATGGACCAAAGACTATCTATGTACACCACAGCTGCGGCAAGGAATATGTTGGCCCAAAATTGGAAACTGCAAGAAGTCCCTACCATTGCAGAGTAGCAGATTAAAATGATTAACTACGCGGAGTTAGCCAAACTGACCAGCAGGATTCGGGATCAGAATGATCAGAGATTCCAGGAAAGTTGGAGTAAATTTATTGTGTATTTAAAGGATAATTGTAAAAACTTAAAAACACTGGCAGGGCTGAAGTAACTCCTACAATGTATAATATAGATATGAGGATAAAAATTAAAATACGTGACTGAAGAGAATAAGGGATACCCACTGAAGGTAAGGAGGGAAGTCGCAAGCTCGGCAGAGCTAAAAGTGCATATGTGGTTTAATGTATTGTAAAACGACTGTGTAAAGAAAATAATAAAAATTTATTGATAAAAAATAAAATAAAAAAAGAAAGACATGTCTGTGCTTGCTGTATACAAGCCCAGACTGCCTGCTTGAAACTATGCTTCTGTATTTTCCATGTAAGTATTCTGCATGTGTTCTCCTTGCTGCTGCATGGAACAACAGATAAATCCAACTTTTGAATCTGTAAGTAAAGCATTTGTAAACTTATCTCTCAGTGTGTGCTTTGTTCAGTGCTCAGTGGAATAAATGGGATATTAAAACAGGTTTAATAGCCTGTTCCTAGCTGTACTGCTGCACAAATTGTGACATGATTTTAAACTCTCCTGGGTCTTTCTGTGTGCTCTTTTTATCTAGGTATCTTGCTGGCTCTTCTCTTGTTCACCCACACACATGGGTCACCAGAATCTAATTTTTCCACCCCACACTTCGTCCCCTAACATATCACAATATTGACATGTACATAGCCAAGAATCTTTCCATGTTTTTCCTACTGTTGCTGGAAACATTATAAACTCCTAAATGCTGAGGCATGTGATAAGGGCATTTCTGTGACCTCTTTCCCTTTATTGCATCACTAAGCCAAAATAAATGGAACTTAAGGAGAAGGGGGAGGTGGAGCCCAAAGACAGGACAACCTTAGCTGCTGGTTCTTACTTGTATATATGAGGAGGGCCATGCAGGGGCTTCCATCTTTAGTTTCACAGGTTTGGAGGTTGCATGGGATTTCTGGTATAATGGTTATGCAGTGTAGACAGACGATAGCATCTGCTCCAAAAGACAAAACCAAAATCCCATGTGAATAAATGACGGTGGTTTTGTAGCCATTTCATTGGAGGTCTTCATATTCTCACCAACAAAGGAAGTTTGGAAAATCCTGACTTGGGTTAGTAATAGTCGAGGACCATGGACATATTTACACTCAGGAGAAACTGAGACAGGGAACACACAACAACCAAACACACATCACAACTTGTTCTGTGGGTAACACATAGGGTTATTCTTTCAAACCTAATTCCATCAATGAGAGCGGGAGGGGATGACACTTTGGCAGCCCCTAGGTTACAAACCATGTTGATTTGATGATCCCATCCATTTGCAACATAAGGAATCTTCACCAGCAGTGAAATGGTCCCCTATCTTGCTTTCAGAATTCCTGATGTACAGACATTGGGAAAACAACAACAGGGACTGGCTCAGCTCTCTTCTCTTATTTCTGTACAATGTATCTGATAGCTTTAAAATTGCTGCCCCCATAAGCACATAGGGGCAGGCATCCCTTTCGCCATACAATTCCGCAGGAAGGGAAAGAACATGACCACAGAACTGTTCTAAGCAGTGGTAAAATGTTAAAGGGAGAAAGAGGCAGCCCCCAGACCACCTCTTCAGAACTTCATATTTCTGCTTGTAAAGCTGGGTGGATTTCTGATGGCTTGTTCCTCACACAATAGGCACCAAATGGGTGCCACCCCAGGAGGGAAATATATTGATCCACCCATCCCTAGCTCTTAGATGATGGAACCTATTGTCCTGAGACAAAGGTTTTTGAGAGCAGAAGCAGTAAGGCCTACACAATCATTCAAGCCTGCTAACTGCTAACTGTTAACAGCAAACTGCTAAGTCACTGTGACCCATGACTCATCTTGAGTGAAGACTCATTCTCCCTACAAAAGTAGCCAGCCAGTGTGTGTCTCAGCTAGGTGTGTGTGTTGCGTTGTTGCAGACAGAGTGGCTCCAGGACTCTAGTACATCAGTAACTAAGACTGTGCCTCTGTGAAGAGTCAGATAGCTGCTATGAGCACTCTGTGTATACTCTTTAACTATGCTGTTTATGAACAACTTTATTTTCTCGAGTAAAAGTTTTATTCTGTTTATGAAGAAGACTCTGCTTTGATTAATTTACCGCTGCACGACACCGATAGCCTGCTCAAATCTTGAGTCTTATTTTCTACTAGCAAAGTATCTTTACTCAGAAAAGCCCTGTCACACAAATTTAAATATTAGGGAGAGTGGCTTAAATAAATAAATTTGAGCAGACTGTAGCAGGCTGCAGTAAAGGAAGAGATGTGAAGCAGGGCCACTTCATCATTGATTGCAGGGGGTTGGACTAGATGACTCTTGGGTCCCTTCCAACCCTAAGATTCTCTGATCAGTTCTACTGCAACAACAGCTGCCCTTGGCTCACCCTCTCCCTCAGTTATCACCTAGGAACAGTCTTTCCATTCAGGTGCAACAGAGGGAGAGAACAGAAGAAGGGCCATTTCATTGTCTAAGTTCAGATTTTATGGAGGGCCAGGGTTAAGTTTGGTTTGGTTCAGTATTAAACTACCTAAGTTGCATTTGCCTTCTCTCTTAGGCCTGTCAACCTGCACTTAAGCTGCCTCCCTTGGCTGACAGTGCTTTTCCCAGCTTTTGCAAAAAGAACATACCTCCAGGTGTAAGGAACAGGAAAACAGAGATTGCAAGAAGTACTTGACTTGGGATCGACATCTTGGTATCAAAAGGTGTGTTCTCCAGCAGAGCCCCAAATCACAGAGGACTAGATGTGGACCTTCACTAGATTCCTCCAGGGTGGAGAAGCTTCTTCCTTTGATCCTTTTAACAACAGCCTAGAGATCATGGTGTCCTCGGAAAGGGACTATAAAGATAAATGAGTGGGCCATAACATCATGAACTGGCCACTCATCACAGAACAAAAATCCCAATTTAAGTGAGAACTTGAAGTGTGGGTGGAACAGATTCTTTGATGTCAGGGCTTCAATGGCCTCTGCAAGTCTCCACTGGCACATCTGCCACTTTTAGGACCAAAAAACTGCAGGACAAGATCTGTAATCATCAATATTTTCACTTCTTGCACACTAATCTATGGATGGTGGTTTTAATATTTATATTTTACTGTAATTAAATTGTAGAAATGTCCATTTTAACACCACAAACAAGGCTATATTTACATTGCAACCTTGGACATGCCTATTCAACAGTAAGCCCCATTGAGTTCAATGAGCCTTTCTCCTCAGGTGCATACAGGATTGCAGCCTCACTGTATACAAAAGACGGAGGTAACAATCTTGTAGCAGATTTTGATAGTAAAAGGTAAAGGTACCCCTGATCGTTAGGTCCAGTCGCGGACAACTCTGGGGCTGAGCGCTCATCTTGCTCTATAGGCCGAGGGAGCCGGCGTTTGTCAGCAGACAGCTTCCGGGTCATGTGGCCAGCATGACTAAGCCGCTTCTGGCAAACCAGAGCAGCGCACGGAAACACCATTTACCTTCCCGCTGGAGTGGTACCTATTTATCTACTTGCACTTAACATGCTTTTGAACTACTAAATGGGCAGGAGCTGCACCAAACAACGGGAGCAGTGACTGAGTCTCAGGGTTCCTGAAAGATCAGATGCATTTCCCCCACCTAATGAAGGACGGACTTACAATGTCCTCTGTTTTGTTATGTATTGAAGAAACCAGGGAATCAGCTCTATTGAACTCAGCAGTGCTGATTTCTGAGTAGACCCATACAGGATCACAGTTTTATTGTTGCAAATGCACAAATTTATCTTGTTGAGTTGCTGCCAGGTTTCACTGAATGAACATGAAGATTGCATTTCATAATGGTAAAGGTAATGTCCAAAATATTTAGTAATACAGTCATACTTTGGAAGCCAAATGGAAAAGGAAGGGTGATAGTAGTAATGGGGGACTTCAATTACCCGGATATTTGTTGGATGTCAAACTCAGCCAAGAGCATAAGGTCAAACAGATTCCTCACTGGCCTTGCAGACACCTTCGTTGTCCAGAAAGTGGGAGAAGCAACAAAAGGAACAGCCATTTTAGATCTGGTCCTAACCAATGTTGATGACCTGGTTAGTGGGGTAGAAGTGGAAGGATCATTAGGCGCGAGTGATCATGCTCTTCTGAAGTTTACTACACAGCGGAAAGGAGCAGCCAAGCATACTAGGACTCAATTTCTTTTTTCTTTTTTTTTATAAATGATATTTATTCCAGATTTAAGATTCCAAAAAAGAAAAAGAAAAACCATACAAAATACAAAGAAAGCTTTAACCATAACAAAGCAAGAAATAAACAAGTAAAAAAAGAACAATAGAATAAGATAAAAAAGAAAACTTAACAAAAAATATAAAAATACATTAAATTAAAATAAAACAAAAACAGATTAAACCTTTACATAGCCTTTTCCCTTTACTTATTTCCATGACCTCCTCACACCTCCCAGTTTTGTATTCTAGTTCAAATCGTATTTCCAGCAAATCCTTCTAACCTTATTTTCATTTACGTATTTTAAAATTAAAATAATATGATTAGACCTCCTCTAATTCATCGATTTCATCAACTCATTTTTACTCAGTCCATTATATCGTATCTACCAGAACGACCTAATATTCTTTTTCCAACCTCCTTCTAACATTCTTTTATGTTGCAATACTTTTGAAGATATATTTTGAATTTTTTCCAATCTTCTTCCATCGACCCTTCTCCCTGGTCTCGAATTCTGCCGGTCATCTCAGCCAGTTCCATGTAGTCCATCACTTTCATCTGCCCGTACTAGGACTCAATTTCTTGACTTTAAGAAAGCCGACTTCATAAAACTTAGGGAAGTGCTGGGTGAGATCCCATGGACAGTAATACTAAAAGGAAAGGGAGTTCATGATGGCTGGGAGTTTGTTAAGAGGGAGATAGTAAAAGCACAATTTCAGGCAATACCAATGAGACGGGAACATGGAAGGTGCCTAGAAGCCAGGGTGGCTATCTAAAGAACTTTTATCTGAGTTAAGATTAAAAAAGGATGTGTACAAAAATGGAAAAGGGGGGAAACCACCAAAGAGGAATTCAAACAAATAGCCAGCACGTGTAGACACAAAGTCAGAAAAGCTAAAGCACAGAATGAACTCAGGCTTGCTAGAGAGGTTAAAAGCAACAAAAAGGCTTTTATGGGTATGTTCGTAGCAAAAGGAAGAACAAAGAAACAGTGGGGTCACTCAGAGGAGAAGATGGTGAAATGCAAACAGGGGACACAGAAAGGGCTGAACTCCTCAATGCCTTCTTTGCCTCAGTCTTCTCCGATAAAGAAAACAATGCCCGACCTGAAGAATTTGGAGCAAATGATTCAGCAGAGGAAACACAGCCCAGAATAACCAAGGAGATAGTACAAGAATACTTGGCTAGTTTAGATGTATTCAAGTCTCCAGGGCCAGATGAACTGCATCCAAGAGTATTAAAAGAACTGGCAGATGTGACTTCCGGAGGCGGCGCCAGCGGTTAATGGCGGATTTCCTCGATCGGAGGAAATCTCGCCACGAAACTAAGGGTCGAATCCCGCTTTGGCGTAGTGGGGGACCCTCAAAAATCACAGGCGGGGGAAGCCTCTGAGCCTGGGACCCAGCGGGCACATTTGGCGCCCCCCCCAACCCGGTAAAAAGCCCGGCAACGGGCTCGGAATCGGAGCGGGGGAGAGCGCTGTGCTGTGGGCTGTCTGCTCGTTCGTGGTGTGAAGCCGCAAGCTGTTGACCGGAGAGCGCTGCCTTTTTTCCTTGAAATTCGGACTCGAAAATCAATGATCCGTGAGTAGGATATAATCTAATTGGAACTGTACAAATCGGAATTTGGCCGAAAATGGAAAGAGGTATAAAAGGAAGTCTGCCTCTTTCCATGTAGATAAAATAAAGCATTGAACTTGAAAGCGGAAGCATTGGAAAAGTACGTATAGTGGACTTTAATCCAACCATCCAACCTGGACTTTTCCTCCTTAAACTGAGGGAAAAGGGGGGAGAATTGTGGATGTGATTTCTTCACAAAGAAGTGGAATAGAAGGGATTAAACCATCGCTCAATTCCCTGGGAAAGGATCTCCAGAGGTAACTTAGGAAAGAAAGAGAGGTACTGTCTTGCAATATATTTTGACAGCTAGTCCTGCACAGGGAATAAAAGTCTGGACATATTATGTGAATATATATCTCCTGGTCCTAAGTTAATATTTTGTATAGACTGTTTTCTTCCTGAATAAACTGGAGGGGCTTAAAAAAGAAACTAAAGTATCCAAGAACTTTTATGACTGTTACAGTGTCCCCCTAGTGGAATTTGGAATTGTTACAACTTGTTATAATTGAAACTGTAGCTGGCTTGAGGAATTCTCACACTGCTTTGTTGGAAATTTCCACTGTTTGATTTTAACTGCGTGACTGACCTTGAGCATTATCTAAAGGAATGGCAGATGGTAAAGAGAAAGCGGATGCATCGACTACAAGGTCGGGAAGGCCTATTCGCACAGAAGAAGGATTACAAAGGAGATCTTCGGCCTCAGGCCCTTCTGGAACCTCAACAACAGCCTCATCGGCACAACTAAAAGTAAAAGGTACGACAAGTGATGATGCCTTTGCTCAAGTCTTGGCCAAGGTCAATGAATCTTTAAACAGAATAAGCCAACAAGTAGCAGAGGCATGTGACAAGATTGATCAAAATACAATAAGTATCAATCAAAATACAAGTACTAATCAGAATACTGCACGTATAAATAATTTGGGCCAGAAAGTAAATACTAACACAGAGACTATTCAGAAATTATTAGATGAATCGGCCTCAATACGCCAGATTGCTGAGGAGGCTAAAGAAATTGCTACAACTTCTGCTACAGAGGTTAAAGAGGTCCAAGAGACAATACCAACACTGCACAAACAACTGGAAGACCATAAATTGACCCTGTCTATGATAGAATTGAAGGAAAAGCAAGTGAACTTACGGGTCAGATCGGTACCTGAGGTGGAAAAGGACAATCTAGCTGAATTTCTCACGCAGGAATTTTTGGACTTTTGGGATCCAGAATTGGCAAAAGACAGTTTCAAAATAGTAAATGCTTTTAGACTTGGGAGAAGAGGAGAGAAGAAGGTGAGAGACTGTTTGATTACCTTTCAAACAAAAGAAGAGAGGGATAAGATTTTGGGCCTACATTTTAAGAAGACACTGGAAATCCAACGGACAAGGGTGGAAATATTTAAAGATATTCCGAAATACCTTCTGGATCTCAGATCAAACTACAAAGACTTGGTTACCCTGCTGAGAAGGAACAGTATCAACTTTAGGTGGGAACTCCCTCAAGGCCTGTCTTTTAGCTACAAAGGTAAGAAGAGGAAAATAAGATCGGAAGACGACAAAGACAAATTTTGCAGAGACCACGGAGAATAATAATAATAATAATAATAATAAATTTTATTTATATCCCGCCCTCCCCAGCCAAAGCCAGGCTCAGGGCGGCTAACAACAAACAAATAATCAAACAATCAAATAATCCAACATTCTAAAACATTTCATTATAAAAATTAATTAAAATCAAATTAATGGCAACCGTTAAGCAAAGTTCTGTGCAGGTTGCCGGAGGTGGGAGTCAGGCTGGGCCCTGACCAAAGGCCTGGTGGAACAACTCTGTCTTGCAGGCCTTGCGGAAAGATGTCAGGTCCCGCAGGGCCCTAGTCTCTTGTGATAGAGCGGTCCACCAGATTGGAGCCGCAGCCGAGAAAGCCCTGGCTCTAGTTGAGGCCAGCCTAACCTCTCTGAGGCCTGGGACCTTCAGGATGTTTTTATTTGCAGACCGTAGGTTCCTCTGTGGGGCATACCAGGAGAGGCGGTCCCGTAGGTACGAGGGTCCTAGGCCGTATAGGGCTTTAAAGGTTAAAACCAGCACCTTAAACCTGATCCTGTACTCCACCGGGAGCCAGTGCAGCTGGTATAGTACCGGATGAATGTGATCTCGCAGCGAAGACCCCATAAGGAGTCTCGCCGCGGCATTCTGCACCCGCTGGAGTTTCTGGGTCAGTCTCAAGGGCAGCCCCACGTAGAGCGAGTTACAATAATCCAGTCTGGAGGTGACCGTCGCGTGGATCACAGTGGCTAGGTCAGGGCGAGAGAGATAAGGGGCCAACTGCTTAGCTTGGCGGGGATGCAAAAATGCCGCCTTGGATATCGCTGTAATCTGCGCCCCCATAGAGAGTGAGGTCTCGA